TTCCACGGCGGTTAACTGTAGAACCGCCGTGGAAAGTCAACTTTCTACGGCGGTTAAAAACCGCCGTGTTTTCCTTGCCTTTCAACGTCGCCTTTAACAACTACGCCTTCAAAACCGCCGTTAAAAGCCACTTTTAACCGCCGTTAAAAGCCTTTTTTCTGGTAGTGTGTGGACGATTCTTGCGTTGAGCCGACGGGTGTGGCAGCTTGTGCTGCTATTGCAAGAGACCATGATGGACACGTGGTTTTATGTTTCGTATTGGATAGGGGAGCAGCCTCCATGCACAACTATGAGGCGTTCTTTGGGGCCTCAAAAGAGCCTGGGATGTGTGATGGCACCGAGTGATTATTGAAATTGATTGTTGGGAAGCGGTGGAGTTAATAGAGATGGGTTGGGATGATGAACATGTTGAGGTTGGTCTGTTAAATGAGATAAGGAAGCTGCTACAGCGAGACTGGGATGTACGCATCAACTGGTGCAGTAGGGGGGTGAACTTAGTGGCGGACTCTTTGGCTAAAGCGGCACTGAAAGTTGAGGAGGGCATCCACTTTTTCCATTCCCCTCCTGATTTCATTGTTCCTGCTCTTAGATACGATGCTGTAGGATAGGTTCTTTTCATGTTTTTTTCTCTTTCTTTTCTCATAAAAGAAAAAGGTAGCACACATTATACATCATGTAAACCAAGTCAAACACAATAATAAATAAATCATAAAATTATACATCCATATAAAAAAGTTTTATCACTATCCTATAAATAAGACCAAAAATGTCTTCTCTCTCTACCCTATAAATAAGATCAGAGGAGTAACTCATAAAGTTTCCTATCATTTGAGGATATTTGGAATAGTAAAATAAGAGAGTCAAGGAGAATTTATTTCATCAGCATTCCATGGCAAAATTTTACAACGATCTTTCATCCAGTTGTTATTTATTTCCAAAAATGAAACTGCATAGACAAAAATCCATGATTCAAAAATGAAAGGATTCAAGTGATAGTTAAGGTCATAAATGAACCATTATAAGGTGAAAAATACACGAGAAAAAATGGTGAAGAATTTCTAAACAGGAAGGTTATTCACCCTATCAAATACATTCATAAGCACAATACCACTTGTACATGCTTCCCTTTCTTTCTTCCTTTGCTTTTTTTTTTTTTTTAAAAACAAAATTTTAGCCAAGGGATTGGGCTCACCCACAAGCTGAGAGCAGAAAAACTAACCCCTAACAAGCTCTTACAAAGTGCGTCACTTAGCTACCAATATGGCTCCCCAAGCGCCATAATGATCTTAGGAATCAAACACCCTCCTGTTAGCAGTGAGATGTCCGATCGTTTAATCCTTGAACCCACACTTCACTTTCTATTAACAAGAGCTGATTGTTCATTTGGTCGAGGCCCCCAGGGGTGGTTGGAAATTCTCTCTCTTATATCTCTCAGAGTATGGACTAGCCCACCTCTGGCACTACCAATAATCATTACAAGAGCAGATCCCATCTTGAAAATGATGGTAACGAATAGGATCCCTTACTACAATATGCCGCTGCTCTAACTTTGCTACAAGTTTTGCAAATAAATGACAATCTCCACATATCCTTAGGTTCTTCCCTATTCTAATGGTTTTCTCCCTGGGATGGTTCATTATACCAAAGACAATTGCCAATTTCTCGCTATGGTATCGAAGGGAATTTTCTCCCTGTTCCTCTTCAAGATCTTGCAAGACAAAATTTGTGTCAGGAACATAACCAACACTAGTAAGTCGAGAAATAAGCTCATTCAACTGTCTATTGATCTGATTTATCTGAGGGTGTGATGTACCTCCCAAAGTAAAAGCATGTATCTGCTTATTGACATCAATCCAGCTACATCCAGGTTCTTTCCTAACGCCTCTTGCTCTCATACTCCTCCTTACTTTTGCAACATCATCCCACCTTTTTGAATTTGCATAGATATTAGATAAAAGTACATAGGCTCCTGTATCTTGTGGACTCAGCTTAAGTATTTCTTTGGCAGCTAGCGTGGCTAAATCCACATTGTGATGGACCCTGCATGCATCAAGCAAAGTCCTCCACATCACAACATCTAGCTTGCAATTCATTTCATTAATTAACTTAACTGCATCATCAAGTTTCCCAGCTCTTCCAAGAAGATCAAGCATGCAAGTATAATGCTCTCTTCCAGGATCAATCCCATAAAGTTCCTTCATGGAATGAAAGTAGTACAAACCTTCATTTACAAGCCCTGCATGACTACATGCAAACAGAACCCCAACAAGTGTGATGTAGTTTGGTTTTGGACCAGAGGTTTTCATGTACTCGAATAAGTTAAGTGACTCTATGCTACAACCATTTTGGGCTAACCCAGCAATCATGGTACTCCAAGAAATTACATCCTTCTCAATCATCCGATTAAAAATTGACTTTGCATCCTCCAAACCACCGCACTTACAGTACATATCCAAAAGTGCATTGTTGAGGATCAGATCCTGGTCAAACCTCAGAACATGAACATGGACCTGCTGTCCTAATTCTAACATTGCCAAACCAGTACATGCTCTCAAAACACTCGTAAGCGATGACTGATCAGAAAGAAAACCAGCTCTTCTCATGCTCTTATAAAGGTACAACGCTTCATCTCCATCACTGTGCTGAGCAAAAGCCCCAATGATAGAGTTCCAAACAACAGAGTCTCCAGTCACCATCTCATTGAAAACAGTTAATGCTTCTTGCAGCTCACCCAATTTTGAGTAAATATCAATAAGAGCACTCCGAACAAATACATCAGACTCCAATCCTACTTTTGTTATACAAGAATGCAGTTGCTTGATATCACGTAGCCTCTCACAAGCTCTCAAAACAGAAGACAACGTGAACATATTAGGCATGACACCTTCTCTAAGCATAAGTGTCAAAAAATTCAAGGCCCTTGCATTGAGCTTAGAGTTAGAGTAAGCGGATATCATTATTGTCCACGAAACAACATTTCTTTCAGGCATTTTTTCGAACAGTACCTGTGCTTCTTCCAAGAGATTGAATCTCACATACATGTTGAGCATGGTATTGATTAAGAACGTCTTTGGCTCATACCCATCAGAGAAAATGTGTTTATGAACGCGCTTACCTTCACTGATAGCCCCACGAGCCAAGCAACCTTTAACAAGCTCGGAATAAGTGATCGCATCAGCCCACACTTTGTGCCTTTCCATGGCTTCCAAGGCTCGCATGGCTCTGGGAAGGTCTCTCTTGTAGCAAAAGTTGGCGAAATCATTGAGCAGTGACGAAGAATTTACAGTTGAACTACGTGTGGATGCAAGAGATGTGAGGCAGGACGAACAAGGAAATCGCTTCAGGTACGGCAACAACCGTGAAATTGCTTTCATGGGTTTGAGTTTCTCTGCTATGTTCTCAATTCAAGGAGAAATTGGATTAACAATACCTTATTCACATCAAAAGCCCAAACCATCATTAACCAACAGCAATCTTTACTCACTCGAAGTGACAAGCACAACAGCAGTTTTTTACGGAATGATTAATTTAATGCATATCCGGACGGAGATGGGAGCTCATTGCGTTCCTGTGAATAAAACCTATATTTATTATACTAGACATTTTTTATATTAAGAAGTTGGTTAAAAAATTAGCAAGACCACTTAATCACCTACACTAAAAAGTTGGCTAAAATGTAGTATGGTCAATAAATATAATGAGTAGAAAAAAGGACATTATAATTAATTCAGGGCAGACATAAAAAAAAAATTAGTCAAAATATCATGCGTAGTTTAAGCGTATCTGATCATGCCTGCTCCAAAAAAAAAAAAAATTAAAAAATTTGATATATAGAACTAGGAATGTGTAACAACTTCAGATAAAATTTGATGTTTGCATTGTAATTAAATAAATTATTAATATATTCTTCCGGTTCTAAATATAAAACCCATTTTATAATATAAATTATATTACAAAATGCGTCTTATATTTAGTACTAGAAGAGTATTATATAAAAATTTAATTTCCTATCATTATTTATTCAGTATGTAATTATGTATTCAAGCAGATCTTATTTTGTAATAGGTTACTATTTCTTTTTTTAAAATAATAAATTATTAACTATAAATATTTTGTGCATATGTATTGCAATTTTTTATGAAATTTATATGATTTTAAAATTTTAAACGAAGCTACAATATTATAAATTTGTTGATAAATTTATAGCTTGTTTAGGAATATTTTAGGCTGCCTAATAAAATGTTCTTTTTTTTTTTTACTGAAAATAAAATGTTTGTATGGAGGAAAGTTCACTTGAAATCAAATTTATCCAGGTCAAACTTATAGTCACATGATGAATACAAATCTCATTGTTTCCCAATAGCAAACTAATAAACCTTGGCAATACTTCAAATCTAAATTAGTTTGTTGAGTCACTTATGACTCATACATCATTATACATTTATTATAGAGACTCAAGCAGAGAAATGAATGGAGAAATCATTGCAATTGCAAACCATTGATTTATATTTAATAATTTGGATTTGATATTTTCAAAAGCATAATTTAATCTATATTATTAAAATTTGATTTCAATAATTTAAAACTGTAATTAAGAAGAGAGAAAGAATAACACTCACCATACTCTAATCTTTTACTCTAAAAACGTTGGTCCCAATAAGAAATTTTGACTCCTTAAAAGTATACAAAAGGTCTCAAGTTTGAATATGTATAAATGCAAAAACACTTGTTTAAGAAAACTATTCCCAAAACCGACAATGCTCAAATTTGATAAGAGTCAAATGTATTCTTCCAGCATGTATTAAAAAAGTTTTAAAAAAAGAAAAACAGAGAAAGCTCTACCTTTGCCCTTCTATCAATCCTTATTCTTCCAGCAGACATCAAATGTTCTTTTTACTTTGGAAGAATAATTGTTCATCGCACACTTTTTTTTTTGGGGAATATGTAGAATAAAATACAACGATAATTTCAAGATCAAGAGATATAGTTTCATCCCCTTATTATGAAAATAAAAAAAATAAATATTATTAAATAATGATTACAAGAAGTCAAAAACATAATAATCAAATGTCTTCATTCCCGCCAAAAATTAAATTTCCTTGTAAACCTCACTTCAAATCTAGTATGCCAAACACTGTAAAATAGGTTTCCCAAAATAAGACTTTCAGGGAAACCTCAAGGGAAGTATTGCTAATGTGTATCATTTTAGATCAGAGTTCTCCGTAGAGACATCATGGTATACAATAAATTATGAGTGTGAAAAAAGATCCTAAATTCTGTGTGCTCCCTAGCATGTCCCTTCAATCCCTTCATTGATGGGCGAAAGATCCTCAGCTTCAATCTATTCAACCTAGATAATAAATCAAACAAGCTTGGCTGAAGTTAATTAACTTAATCATGGCCCTCTAGAAATTTCTCTATCACGACTGAGAATGCTGCAAAACCAGCACAACCGGCGCATGCCGCTTTAGGACCACCTAGAACCAGAAAACAAAAGAATGGTAACAGATAAGATTGAGATAAAGCCAGAACGGAATAATATAATTAGTAAATCCATACATTTCATCTTCTGATTTCTTGAATAAGTTTCAACTTGTCTTCGTTTCCTTTTGCTTAATTTCTTTTGTCCATTTATTTTTCTCTTAGTTGATTTTCCCCTTTACAGCCTCTAATACACTATTCCTCCAGCCACGATTGCAATTACACTTGGATAAAAAACAAATAGAAAAAGGAAATACTAAAGAACTTTCTGAAATATAACCAAAGGATTCACTCCAGCACTTGCACATTATAGAGTTAACTCTTAAACTCCTTACAAGTCTAAAGCTAATGTTGTATACTCGGATCCCCAAAACTTGATGGTCAAACTCTAAATCCTTTAAATTTGCATGTAGCTTTCCTGTTTATGCAAGTTTAGCAAGTTTTCTGTCCCCACTTATTGGGCCATTTAAACTCTTACTGCAGCCTAGATTCCAAAACATATGCTACAAATTATCCTATAAATAGGTGAACCAGTGTCACGTTGGAGAAAATAGTCCAAAACTTGCATAAATCCCTTTCTTATAAAGCAAAGCTAAAATATAGAAGCTGAGAATAGTTGTAAACTAGTGATAAAAGACAAGTAACTGCTATTTTTACAGTTCACGTTCTATTTATCAATAAATTCTATGCTGTTGAGGCTTTATTTATTTATTTTGGATAAAATGTTCAAATAATGAGCATCGACTATCAACTATGAAGGATTTGACATTCGTGGTTTTGAACAACTAATTTTCACTGGTGATATTTGTCATGGTCATGCTATGTTTTTCCTTTTCAGGATTAGTTTGCACCTGTATGGCTGTATGAATTGACTCTACAGGTTGTTTGTGAATTTGCATAATAAACACAATCGTTTTAGCGTTTAACATCCATTACCAGGTAACGATATGTACAGTGTAGATGCTACAGTGGACGTCACTGAAACTGCTTTCTACTCAATCAGTTCTAATTATGTGCATGATTAGCAGTAACTGATGAAGCCTAATGACTTCAAGGTGCATGCTAAAGCAAGAGGGCTGGACAGGTGGATGGGGGTAAACATGGCAAATGCCGAGGAAAACTAACTCCAGCGTATTACAAGTATACGGACTGAGGTATATGAGAGAGAAGGCAGTCTCTTAGAGATGGCTCAAGAGGGAGGTCTGATAGCATTAGCTGATGTGAAAATTACAGCAAAGAACCGGAAGAAACCTAACTTTGCATGCTGCTAGAACTCTATTTTGCTTTCTGCTTGTTTATCCTTTATTTTCTTGCAGGTTATCTTCATAATTTTTTCTGTTGATCCATTTTCCTGTACTTGGCTTGGCTCTTGAGCTATCAGTTTCAGAGCACTTCAGTACTCTCAGGCAGGACTGAATAGCTTTGTTTCTTTCCATAAATGCCAATACTGGAAAGGCTTCAGCAGTTATCAGCACTGATGAATTCTCCAGTTATTGTGCTCCCCATTTCTTTTTGTATATAATTTTAGATCCTTTGCCAATTGCCATATCTAGTTTTTATACTTACATCTCTACCAAATTGTTGAAGCCATTTTGAATTCCTTTATCCGTTTTGGAAGAGAGACTTGCTTAGAACTACCAGACGCCTGAAGATATGTACTAGCAGACTATTTTCCCGCCTAGAATACTTGTTTTTCCCCCTTAAACCAATTTTCAATTTCTCCAGACTGTCAAGTAACCTTTTAAAGCACTTTACTCCTCTTTATGAAAATGAACCTTAAGAATCTATCTCCCTCATCCCTAAGCTCCAATTAACCAAGAGTAAGTAAACCTTGAGCTCTAATATGTCCTGGTTGTTTCTATTACTCGGTTTCTGGCCCAAGAAAGGTAAAAGGTTATACAGTTGGGCAGCACATATGGAAAGTAAATAGGTCTAGAAAGCACCACATATAGAGAATGTAAAAAGGAAATTTAAAAATGAAAAAAGCAAGTATAGTTCGAATTGGGGAGGAGTTACCTTTTGCTGATATAGCACCTCCAGTAACACATCCAGCAACAACTGTATTTGTTGTGTCATGTTTAGCTCGTGCCTGAAAAAGATATTATTAAAAAAAGAAAGAAAAATAACCTGACAAGTTTAATCTAATAAAAATCTTCAATCAAAAACTTCATGAGAGTCGCACCTTCTCAACAACACATTCAGCTGCTGAGAATATCAAACCCATGACAGCAAATGCTTTGGCTGAACTCAAGCTCCTTCGTCCCATCTGCTTTGCTTGATATATTAGTTTTTGCCTCCCAGTCATTTCATCCTCCATCAGATGCGTGTCCATGGATCCGAGAAACAAACCCATGAACAAGCCAATCCCACCTCCTAAGAACATTACATTAAATGATAAAATAAATATGTGGCCATAGATAGCTTTCCATGTCTAGGGTGAAGATGAATGTTTATTAAATCACATCTGGAGCCGGACAATTCAATTTATGTAGAGGTAAAATTATGCTTTGAAATCAAAAAATTGGAGAATGAGGCTGCTACTGTCATACCCATCACTCCACTTACGACGCTACGCACTGCACAATTGTTCCAAATGTCTTGACCACGAATTTCCTCAACTGTGGGCAATCTTATGGGTTGAATCTGAGGTTTCTCGGCTTCTTTCAAGGTCGAAGAGCTTCCAGATTCATTTCCCGAATTATCAGCCATTTATATGGCTCAGATCCAAAATATGCAAGAGTTAACTGAAATCCCCTGTAAAACAGAGCGTTTGGAAAAAAAATGAGAATTCATAAAAAGGATGTTAGGCACAGTCTCTTCAATTTCCACTACCAAAACAGTACTCAGCACAATGAAGGGTCAAGATGCCAAATAAACAGGTTAATCTCAAACTTCAACAATCTCGACGTCAATTATGAAAAGTTTTCGCAATGAACAACTCAATTCCTATGAAAGTATCACAAGAATGAATAAGAAATATGTTGAAAATCAACTGTCGTTTTCCCTTGATCCTTTCTTTAATTCTCACTCCCTCCTATCAGACATAGCCTTAACTTCTTAAACTTTCCTCCCGAAACAAAACCATATAAACTTAATATTTGGGCACTAATGCAACACCTTCTAAGAATTTTTTTTGCGAAAACCAATCAAAAAAATTCGCGACACCAAGATCATTGAGTTCAACATATTGTGCAGAAACAAGAAAACAAAACCAAATTCATAAACACAAAAGCTTCCTCCACATTGTTCTTACTTGTTACCGTTGATCTGGAACCAAGACTTCGGGTCGACGACGATGCACTACAGGGGCTCGGCAAACGGTGGCTGGCTAGGGTTGACAGGAAATTTTGGGGAAGAAGTGAGCGTCGAACGGTCGAAACCTCGAAGGAAAATTGGAATTCAAAGATGGCAATTAAACAAAGAAATATAAATCTTTTTTATTTTATAATTCTTGCCAGGAAAAAATAAACAAATCATATTGGGTTGCGTTTCTAAAGGGTGATGGCTTTTGATATTCTGGATTGTCTCCGAAAAAGGAAAGAAGTAATATTCGTTTGATTAAATTTTGTTTTTTATTCTGAAATCTACAGTGAGCTCCCCAAGCTCCATGCATTGCAGGATTGCACAGAAAAATGTCTCCAGCAAATATTTGGATTAGATTTTTAATGTTTGAGATAAGTATACGAAACGAATTTTGTTTCGGATTGCGTAAAAACATTATTTTCATTGGTACTAATGTTTCCCAAACACCCTCTAGTAGTAGGAAAATGCGCATAAATAAATAATACTCCTCATATTCTAAATATAATGTCTATTTTGTAATATAAATGTAAGATTTATTTTATAATCTAAATATTTACACTATAAAATAAGACTTACATTTTGGACTAGAGAAGTAATCAGGAATGACAAATGGCAGCCTGTTTTTATCAATGCATTATAAACGAAAATATTGAGATGATATGTTGTGAAAAGTATTTATCAATGCACTACACTGAAAATTATTTACCGTTTGAAAAAGTTAAATTCATGCAAGTGAGTCTTTTGAAGTATCTAAGACTTGGTCTAGAGATTTACAAGTCTTTCTATGTCAAAGTCTGTATAGACAACTCTTCAAGTTTCACACATACCATGTTAAAATCTCAACTTGTAAAACTTCAAACTAAGGACTCTTCAACTAAAAGAGACCATCTCACATGATTATGGTAAGATTCTTTTAATATACATGATCCTCATATAAGGCAAGCATAGAGCGTACTCGAATTTTAAAGACAGATTAAACAAGTTTTCAGAAAGAAATAAAATTTTAGAGAAATATTATGGAAAACATATTTTCATTTATGAGAAGCAATTACAACACTCGATGTCTTTTTTAAAAACCATAGGCTCGTTTGTATAGGTTTTCTGACTAACTAGAAGACAAACTTAGATTATTATACTCAATAATACAACCTTACTTTATAAAAGTAGATATTCCTGATAAAAGCAAAAGCACACAAAATTAAAGTGAAAACTGGACAAAAGCAAAAGTACACCTCACACTCATACTTGAAGTAAACCTAAGTCTGACATATAGAAAATTGTTCACCCAAAAACAACTTATACCCATTTTTAGTGGTGACAAATGTGATATTTATGTTTCTTAATTGAAAAGTGAAATTGTTGGCCTTTTGTACAATTTCAGTTTTATCTTGTCATTATAAGATTCTCCCATGTGCAATATTCTTGCATAAATTTCTTGTTTGAGATCCCACCAGTTGATTATAAGTTGGTTAGAAGAGCATTTTGATCACCTACCAAAAGATTCCTACAAGTTTAACAATTTACTTGTGGATACTTTCTCAAGTTTATTAGCAAATATCTCATGCTATATAGATTGGGTAATAGGTTGTACTTAACCTTCTATTACTTCATAATTTTCTAGAAGTTGAAAAGTTTAGTTGGACATTAAGAATTTTAGTTCACCTGTGCAGAGAATTATCTAATGCCACCAATTTGATTGACTAACAATGAGATGACAGAATGCTTATTATTAATACATTTGTGAGCACTGACCACTTCCCTATGCTAGCATCGTAACAATCTACGTCTCTATATTCACATTCTTACATCGACCCTCTCTCCTGCCTTTAGTTTTAGGTTTGCTAAATTTACCCACCAAATATTGATGTATGTACTTATTATTGAAATTGTGCAAATTTTAGCATTACTTTTATAAAAAAAGATGAAGAAAATGTAGGACAAAACCCTCATATAATTGTCATGTCTTTACTATGATACAAGAGTTTTCTTCATAAAATGACTAATGCCGAGATAATTTAGTAGTTATATGAATCTCCTAAAATGCGTCAATGATTTTAAAACATTACTTAACAACACTCGAAATATGGCTTACTTCAATTTATCTTATCTATTTTTGTATTATAAAATGGCATTATCTACTAAGATAATTTGATTGTTAGCAATCAATTCATGTCACACCTAGTCATTTGAGAAATCACTACACAATACAACTATGAAACTAGTCATTCGAGAAATCATTACGCAATACAACTATGAAACACAACACCGACAATACAACTATGAAATGCAACAACTACAAATTGGACTCCATAATACTACAACTTCATTGAGGTGAACAGTTTCTTACAAATCTTAACTCTTCATAGGCAAACAATTTCCAGTGTAGAATTTTAGGAAATACTTCCTACATTGTAGTGTTTCAGCATTTTGTTAAATATTTAAAATATATCAATAAAATCTTAGAAAAAAGTAAACATAAATAATATTACCGTTGCTTTTAGCCCAATTTCAATTTGTAAATTGTAATTTATGGTGACTTCAATTTTGTAAAATTTATCCAAACAGATTTTGAGTAGTTTTGAGTATATCAGGTGATTAATACGTAAAAACTCCATGGATATATTGATTTCCATTTGCGGGTAAAGCTACAAGAATCAGCTTTAAAATTAACTAGAGTTTTGAAGAAAAAGCCATTAGCAAATATAACTTTCATCCGATTATATTTTTTTTAACTTCCAACTAGCTTTTAAGGGTTACAAACTATAGTTTTGGCCAATTAAAAGCCATCCAAAACAAGCATTAATAATGCTCCCTTTTGTTATCATGGATTTTTTTTTAATATTATGCATCATGGTTTATTATTTTTGAATATGTTGTAATACTTTGTAAGTTCTTTTTTAATTTTAAGTCTAGTTAAATCACTATGGATTTCTATAATTCTATCCATTACAAAAAACACAAGGGAAGAATCCTTCTTATTAAGAAAGCCCAAGTCAGAGAAAAAGTGAGTGCTAGAGAAAACTCTGTTATTTAAAATGAAAATGAATGATAGTTTATTGAATTAATCCAATTGCTCATTAATTGGATGAGCTTATGGGTTTGATCAAATAACTCATTTATTAGTTTAATACGAATGGGTTTAAATAAAAATGGTTGGCCCGGCAAGCTTTGAACGAGATCCTAATTTCAACATTCAACAATAGGCCTGAAATTGGTGAATCTAAGTTCGATCATCTAGACCAAAGAGAGATTGGATTAAAAAAAAAAATTCAATTAAACAGAAGTTGAGTCTAACAAAAAAAAATTAATATCTTATAATATGATAAACTAATATATAAATCTTCATTGAGATAGATACCTACATTCAGTATATTTATAATACTTCCAATAAAAAGATACATGTACTTTAAAAAAAACAAAAAGAAACATTTTGGCGGTGATTTTGTTTTAACTTTAAAAATTATTTTTACACTTTATGAAATAAAACTTTTCTAATACTCCTCCGGTCCTTAATATAGGACCCAATTCTTAAGGTGGTTTTGGTCCTAAATATAAGACCCATTTTTCATCTTTATCAGTTTTCTCTAAATTATCCCTATAGATACTTCCTTAACCATAATCAAGTAGAAGAGGGAGATGTGGTAGTAAGAAAGATGATTGTGGTGTTTTAGGAAAAATGTGTCACTTTTCTTATAATTAACTAACTTACCTAACTTCCTTAATCTAATCAAATTAGTTAAATGGGTCTTACATTAAGGACCAGATGAGTATGTAAAATTGTTTTTCCACAATCAATTCAAAGTACAAATTAGAGTTGTGCCAAAAAAAAAAGGTACAGTTAGCATTACAATCCAACTAAAGGTTTTTTTTAAAAAAAATGTTTGTTTTTAATGAAAGCAAGGGGCAACATTGGCAAAAAGGGAGTTAATTTTTTTTTTTTAATGAAAGCAGGAAACAGATCATTCCATATTGAAAAAAATACAAATAGAAGAAAACTACAAATCAACATTATTCACCTCCAAAAAAGGGTAGATGGTAAAAAAAAAAAAAGTAGATTAAAGTAAAAAATTTGCTTATAAGCCAACCTAGCCAAAAAAATCAGCTTCTCTATTTTCCTCTTCGTACAAAAAGTTAAGATCAACATGTCAATTCCTGTGCAAAATTCTTCTAGTTGAGTTTATAATAAATTGAAAGGGATGATAACCATAATTATATTGCGTCTTGCAATAGTTGATATAACACTAGTACAGTAACAAAAAACCTCCAAAATCTCTAGTCCTTCAAATAGACTTTCAAATCAGAAAATAAGCACCCAAACAGCATTTGGGCAAAGGTAACATACCAAAAGGACTTATTGGATTCCCAAGAGTTGAACCCAAACATAATTGTGAAATGTATACTTGTACTAAATATAAGTTAATGTACAAATGTGTAGTTTTCGCTTAGAGCTTTGGGCACTCAAGAATTTTTTTTAAATGCGAATTTATCCTAAAAGTTTGAAATCGTAGTAATACTTGTCCCATACTGTTAGAAACTTAACATTAACTATTAAAATAGTATCGTTAACTATTACATATTTTGAATGGTAAGAAATAACATTATTATGATTCTAAATTTCCAGGACCATTTTGCACCTAAAAATATTTCAGGTGCCTAACAATTCTTGAGTGAGATAATTTGTTTGGATAAATTTTTAAACCTTGACATGTATAGCACTTTCACAAGTTCGAATTTTGTACTTAAAAATGATTCTATTATGCTAAACTATACCCTCATTGATAAAATGAAAATAATATGAACAGGTAGCTTGATATTTGAAGGAGCTGTGAGAACTTTTATGAGAGAAGTGATGCGATTTTGATTATCAGCCCCAAGAATTGTTGAAGGCGGCAGAAGTGATTGCCTGAGCGAATTCTTGAAAGTTAATGCAACCGTCGCCGTCGGTATCAGCCTCTTTGATCATTCCGGTGAGCTCCTCCGCCGTGAGGGCGTGGCCCAACTTGGCCATGGAATGTGCGAGTTCGGCGGCCGTGATGTAGCCGTTGCCGTCGCGGTCGAACATCCGGAAGATCTGGCGGAGTTGGTCCTCCGTGTAGGGGCTGTGAGCGTGGATGAGATCCGGCTCGACCATGGCGACGAACTCGGAGAACTCCACCATGCCGTTGCTGTTCCTGTCGGCCTTCTGGATCAACGCCTCCAGCTGGTCCTCGCTCGGCTTCAAACCCAGCGACCGGAGCAACGACCCTAGCTCGAGCTGCGTCAAGCTTCCGTCCTTGTTCCGGTCAAACGATCGGAAAATCTCTCGCAACTCCGCCAGCTGTTCGTCGTCCAGTTTCACCGGTTGCTTGTTTGAGCTCATTCCTGATCCAATGATTTTGAGACCGAGACCGATCGATGATTAATCAATGTGTTTTGCACTTCATTGATTGATTTTCTTGGTGGTAAGGGTCCGTTTTCCGGAGAAAAATTCAGAGTTTCTGAGAATAATCAAATGGTAAGAAAAACATTTGAGGAATTATCAAAGTCTATAACAACTCGCTTTCTCTGTGTAGCTTGATTCTCGGATCTGAACACTACGTGCAGTTTTTCTAGGCGATGATGGTAGTATATTTATCAGGTTTGACCGTTTAGTATTCACATAAATCAGTGATTAATGTCGCTGGCCCCCAAAAAAAAAAAAATCAGTAATTAATGAAAAAAACAATGTGTGATTAATGAATATGGATCCAGTATGTGCTCGTTGCTTATGCCGTCATGCGTACTGTCCAGATTTTCAAAACTACAAAGAGAAGATTTATTATGTTTTAAGGTTTATTTATACTATGTTATGCATGAGATAGTGCAAATTTCCCCTCGCATTTAACTAAAATCGTGGCACTGTTCCTAACGTTCAAAATGCTACGGTAAATGTCACTATTTTAACGATTAGTGTTAGCTTTTTTAGCAATAAAAATAATATCGTTATAATTTTAAAATTTTTGACAAATTTGCACATAAAAAATTTTAGATGCCCAACACTCTTAAGTAAAAATTTTTAGAATAAATTTGCGCCTTAATCCTAACATAAAGGCTAAATCACACTAAACTTTTTCTAAATTTTGAACCAAGACTATAAATAACTCTCTTGGCTCTTATTATTTAAGTTACTTATCATAATTATAACTTACATTAAGTCATTTTAGCTTTGTGTGAATAATCTCGACCATCAATTATACATTTTCTTAAATTTTATTTTTGTATAAATATAACTTGTATATACAAACTTTGAGTTACATGTTATGTATAAATAAGTGATGAATACAATACTACTCACGGAAGAGCTAGCTACATAAATGTAAAAATTTACGAGAATTATTATAAATTTTAAAAAGATGAGAGACATCACATAAAATTTCAAGAATTATATTGTTTGTGATTTAGCCTAATGTAAAATTAAGCACAATAGTTGCATCAAATTTTTTATATCCATCAAGTTTTACAATCATACATGATCATGTATCCTATTTTTAAAATATTACTCTTCGGTCCTATTTACAGGGCAGAGAAAAGACTTTTTTGATCTTATTTATAGAGTACTGAGAGAAATTTTTTGAGTGAATGTACAATTTTACCCTTTATTTATTATTATTGACTTTCTTTACATGAATTATGGTGTATATTAAATAAGAATAAAGTTAAAAAGTTGTTGAATTTTAAATAAGGGTTTGAAGTTTAAGATTTTTCTTGGTATTTATGAAACATGTTGGAAATGACTTATAAATAGGATGAGAGAACTAGTATTTCATTATAAATTTACATGAAATAAAAAAAGACACATGCTATGTGTAATTGGAGAATTTAATATAATGGATATAAAAAAATTAACCTCAGTTTTTTCACAAATTTAAATATAATTTTGTTGGCTACCATCTTTAAAAAATGCATTTCATAATTTTAAAAAATTAAAAATTTAAAACTTTTTAAATATGGTCGTTCAAATTTTGTTTTATACCATAGCTCATGAATTCATTATTCCCTGTAAAGAAAATTTAAAATTATAACTTTACATTTTAAAAAGCCTTAAAAAATGATTGGTGTCTCATACACCACGAGATGTCAATATAACCATTTAAATATGGAAAATTTGGTTAAAACTCCTCATTTGAAAGCTTAGTTAACTAAAAAAAAAAAATAAATGAATGTAACTATAATCCGTGATGTACAATATCTTATTAATGATGTGTAATAATCATTAGTATGAAAGTTATTTGCATATAATAGAAGAAAAGTTACACTCACGTACAGGTTATAATCACACGTGCTTGAATTTAAAGAAGTGTTTGGATGGAATTAAAATTATGATTTTAAAACGACACCAAAAAAAAAATTATGATTTTAAAAGTGCTTTTACGGTATACGAAGTAAAAATATAAAAGAGTTTATCTCGATTTGCAGAAAAGTGCTTTTCAAAAGTACTTCTAATGCTACCCAAATGCCCTTTAAGTCTTTTTAGCCGACTGAGTTTTTCAAACAGAGATTTTTTTTTTTTTTTTTTACCAAATGTCCCTTTAAACATCTACTGATGTGTAGTTCATCAATTAGGTAAGTTACGCTAAATATACAACATTGATAAATTTTGCCCTTTATCAGAATATAGATTAGGAAAGTGGGGATCTGCCTATGGTTTAAAAGAACTTTAACGAAGAACTCTCGTTGGGACATACTCCAGGTACTTCTCGTCATTTTGATCTCATGTAATTTTGTACATTTGATTGTAACTTCTTTTATTTTCTTAGAAATGAAATTCCCTTAATTTTCATTAATGAAAAGAGATACTAGTAAAGATAATGCGACTCATATCTCAAACGCCGGAAATTTCTTCTCGAGTAACGTTACGAATTAATAACAATAATAACAAAAACTTTGCCATTGAAAAGAATAAATAAATACACGATTGATTGATTAATTGAGAGAGAAGTAATTTATTTTATATAAGATGAATATGTGAAAAGAGTTTTTTTTTCCATTAAACATAAAAATACTCGTTTTAATTTCATTCAAATAAATTGTGAACAAGATTATTAAACTCACAAGTTTAAACTTATAAAAAAGAGAAGGGACTCAATAATTTAGATTTCCTTTTGGCCAATAATAATTCAGCATCTTTGGTACTTCTTCAATCCTAAATATAAAACCCGTATATGCACTATATAAGGATTTTATACTTAGAATCGGATGAGTATTTTTTTTTTTGGCCCATAGCATCCTTGATATTTCATACAAATAATGTTAGGATAATGCATCACCAATACGGTCTTGAATCAATTAATTTTTTTTAAAGAAATTCTTGACTTGCGATATTTGATATGTGGAGAATTATATTCAACGACTTTAAATTTATAAATTTATTTTTAAAAATCATTTACTTGTAACTTTGAGCGATGTTATTTTTAATTTTGAGGAAAAACATGATCATAACAACGTCCTTTTATTATAGTCAAATTAAATGAAATGACTCGTATCTTTATATTTTATTTTTCTTAAACATTTTCGTTCTAATAAATTTCTGGACACGGTAATATTCTTAATCATATTTTTGTCCGAATCGATTTAACGACAAAGGAGGAAATGTATTCAAACCGATTTAAGTCTGCTTGGATTTTGGAAGGTTTATTACTTATTGACCTAACGGCTATGATCGATTAAGTGCATCGCATCCGCATATACCGTCATGGACTTACCCACTGCGATATCGCCACGTGTCTTGCTGGGCCAAAATTCTTAATCACGCGCCAAAAAGTCACATACAAGTAACCGCCTGAAGCGAAAGAGTTAAACGGTATTATCACACCCCTCACAATGATTCCTCTTAATCTCTCACATTGCTCAAACTTTCCTAATTTTTCTCAGATTTTATCCTTTATCTTTCGAGGAAGCAAATCATTCGCTGGTTCATTTGCTTCTTCGTCCAGTTTCTGTACTTCTGTTTGGATGCGAAGAAAGCACGAGAAAGTTTCTGATCATCACTATCGGAAAGTATATACCTCTCTCCTCCCTGATTTTATACTCAGTGTTACTTCCTTTTTTGGTCTTCTTGTATCTGTTGCTTTCTTCTAAATGCTAAAAGAGGAAATTTAAACGAGGGTTTGTGTTCAATGAAGAACACATTGCGAGTTTTAAAGGCTTATAATCATAGTTTGTCTTGTGCTCTTGGGATGGTAAAAAAGAACAGGATTTGAATTCTGAAATTTCTTCTCTTTTCTTCTTGTTTGATTTTGTACCCATTTTTGTGTTAGAAACAACACTACTGTCAAATTCTTGTGGTTCTGTGATACAAGATTTGTCTCCATATAGTTGACTTTTTAATGAATACAATCTCTTCGTTTAATTTGTTCCCTTTGCAGAGTTTTGTAAGTGTTTGTTTATTTGTCTCTATTATGGACAACAACTCAAGCGCCATAAAATGATGAACTTTGTTTAATACAAGTGCCACACACGTCTTGAACATGAACACGAAACGATTTTTGAATTGCTTTCGATTTACTGTGTAATTGAATCATATAGACCGTTATAGTCCGCCTTGCATTACAACTGAGAAAAAGTTGACTTTTACTGATATGTGAATCATTGCATATATAGTTGGAAACATGAAAAAAACTACTTCCCGAGTTGTCATGTTGTGATAATATGTATGTTGAATGTATCGAATATTCTTATTTGTCTCTATTATATATGGACATAATGCATATTCATCTAGTGATAGCAATACTTATATGATTTGTTTACTACAAAATTTGTTTAACTAAACAAGTGGAATTTTAGCACATATGCCCCATTATTCATGACGTATAAGTAAATAAAGAGGTTTAGTATAAATTTTTTGTTATATATACTGATATTGATTCTTTAACTTTGAAATGCTTATCATTAGTGATCTTATTTAGAGTACAGTGAAACTAAGTACTGTTGCGAAGCAATCAATGGATCAAGAAAATAAATCCTCACTCGATACGAAAACTACGAAATATGTATAAATGTCTTTATAGTTTTCATGGTTTTGCCTTTCCATGTACCTAGTTTTTTGGTTCTTTTTGGGCGATTGAGCCAAGCCTATATTGTGAAGTTTTTCATGAATCGTGAATATGATCTTTAACGGGTTTATCCTAGATTTCAACCCCCCTATTTTTTTAATGTTTTATGTGGTGCAAAATAAATATTTCTTTCGCCCTTTGAAAGGGGCGATATATGAGGTATACGATACCGGCAGGTAATCCAGTTTAGAAGAATCTCAATTTACGGCTGTTGTATGCAATCAGAGAACAAAAATAATAAAACTGGCAGATGTCATGTAAATAGAGCAAAGGTTTGTAGGGTAATAGACATAGTCATACTCCATTCCATTTCTTCGACAAATCTACAAAATTATGTTCTTAACATTTTTGTATTTTGGCTGAACTTGGATACATAGCTTTTAGCTTAATTAGACACAATTTCATATTTATTGCACCGAGTATAAGAAATAAGTCTCAATGTTCGTATCTCATTATTAGAACCACTTGATATGGATTTTATTTTTCATATTGATATTGATACTGATTTGTCCTCCAATTTTCTTTTTCATATTCCACCAGGTTGGATGATAGGGTCCCACGTCAGTTTCAGGTGTACTCTAGGGGAAAGAGCAAGAATAAAGGGTAGTTTATGAATTGAGGGAAGTTAATACACGTGTTAGTTTTTCTCAGTTCAACGTGGGAGTAGTTATTATCAGTTATCTTCAGTTATAGGAGGTCATCGTCAGTTATTTTATGTCTTATCCTACCAGCCCATTTAGACATCATATGTATTAGTCTTGGAGACATGAATGAAAGTATATTATTCAGGAATTGCCCTCTTCTCATCTCCTAGGATTTCAGATACCGGTTCTAGGCTCTCTCTCCCTCTCATCTTTCTTCTAACTTTTCATCTGTTCTTTCCCCTCCCCATTCTTATTCTCTCTTCTACAGAACCTAACATTGGACAAGAAGAAAATTTCGGGAATAACTGGAAATAACAGAAAGAATGCACAGGAGGCTACGAAGGATGGAGTCTGGTGTCACATCAGAGGCATCAGATTCTAGTGAAATGAAGAAATCAAACAAAACAAGAGCAGTTGAAGTGTCTGGATGTGGAAGAGAAAAGGACACAACAGGCAAAGATATGTTGAGCAAACTGAGCAAAGTAGACTTGGCAGAACAAGAATGGGTCAATAAGATTCTAGAATGTCCTGTTTTCTGCCCATCAGAGCAGGAGTTTGAGGATCCTTTAGTTTATCTGCAGAAGATTGTTCCTCAGGCACAAAAATACGGTATAAGTGATCAAAGTCATATTTCCTGTTGTTTATTATTTTTAGCTTTTTAATATGTTCATGAACTGGCTTTAGTCCTTCGTTCTTCTTTATATTAAAGCTAAGTTGCATAAAATCCCCTTGAATTTTGAGTTGTGCACAAATAACTCTCACGATATTTAAAATTTGATCAAGAATCTTCCTAAATTTCCAATTTTGTGAAGACAATCCCCTTCCATTAATTAACCCTCTATCTTAATAATGGAGCATGATATGCGACCATGTACTCCATTAATTCATTAAACATTGGGTTATGAGCATGTCTGCATGTGATTATCCTAAATTTAAATCCTGTGCAGATAAATTCTCTGTCATGTTATAGAATAGGCAAATTAACAATAAGGGAGTTATTTGTATAATTTTAAAAGTACATGGAGTTTCCTTGTCAAGTTTTGGAGGTAAGGGAAGTTATTAATATCTAATCTAAAGTTTACAGAGTTATGTATAGTTTACCCTTATAGTAATGTTCATGAGGAATTTTCCGCAACAACCGAGCATACGGGCCTTTTCTGTATCCTGCTCATGCAATGTCATTGATCTATTAGAAGCAAATGACCATGAACATTTTTCTTTGACATTGCATATGGTTTGATTCTCATAACACTCTCATAGAACAAATAGCATATTTCTAATGATAAATCTTCATTTAAATGTTTCAGGAATATGCAAAATTGTTTCTCCTCTAAATGCCTCTATTCCAGCTGCTGTTGTCTTAACGAAAGAGAGAGAAAATTTCAAGTTTGAAACTATTGTACAACCTCTTCGGTTTTCTGAATTAAATGAGGACAATGAAACAACCTATTCTTTCAGAGGCAGGTAAGAAAATGCATTATGACTATAATTCTAGGATTATGATTCAATTGACATTGTTCAACTGCTGAATAATATTGTTTCCATCAGAAAATACACTTACCGTGATTTCGAGACTTTGGCAAACAAGGCCTTTCTCAGTAGGTTTTACAGTTCAGGAAATCTTCCTTCTTCATATGTGGAAAAGTTATTCTGGCATGAGATGGAGCATGGAGAGACGGGAACAGTTGAGTATGGAGTCAATGTTGAAGGTAGTGCTTTTTCATGTGATCCTAATGACAAGCTTGCAAAAAGCAAATGGAATTTGAAGGTAGTTTTTAAGACACTACTTTTCCCATTTGTTCTCTATAATATGCTTCTGTTAATTGTTAACAAATTCAGACTGATCATTGTGTTGTGAAAATAAAACTTTCTTTTTTTCTTCAATCCCAGAATTTCTCGCGGCTGCAGAAATCTACACTGCGGTTCATTGACCGAGACATTCCAGTAAGAGAGCAATCTTTAAACATAATCTCAATAAAAATTTGAACACTGTTTTCGGAGTGATTATTATAAACCTCATGGCAACGTTTCTTTTTTTGGGTAGGGAATAACTGACCCTATGCTTTATATTGGAATGCTATTCAGTATGTTTGCATGGCATGTAGAAGATCACTATTTGTACAGGTAATTCTCAAAACTATTACTCTGATGTTTATGTTCATCTACTATTTTACTGCACCTAGCTCTTATATGTTTTAATCCTTTTGTAGCATTAACTACCATCACTCAGGAGCAAACAAAACTTGGTATGGCGTTCCCAGCTGTGCGGCCTCTCAATTTGAAGAGGTTGCCTTGGATCAGGTGTTCCACTATAAGATTTTATCAAAACATGATGGAAAGGCTGGTGCCTTTGAAGCTCTTTCTCATAAAACAACCATGTTTTCTCCAAATGTGTTGCTCCAGCATGGTGTGCCAGTTTATAAGGCTGTGCAGAAGCCTGGGGAGTTTGTCATCACCTTTCCTAAAGCATATCATGCTGGATTTAGTCATGGTACCAATCCCTATCTTTCTGTGCATTGATAGTAGCATGGTCTTTGAAGTGAGAGAGAATGGGAGACAATCACATAAGAAGTGAGAATGTGTATGAAGCTCACTTTCTCCTTTCCACCCACTCTCTGTTTTCTTTTTATTTCTTTCATACTTTAAAAGTACTTCACAAGCTTCTAACTTCAGAGGATCTAAATCACTCTGCCTGTTTTATCACAAAATCCCAAATCCCCTAACTGAGCTTTAGCACAATGGTGCTAGAATCATATCCAAGACAAGAAAACCCAAGTTAATTACGCATTATGTAGGTTTCAATGTATATATTTATATTTATTGGATTGGATTCTTGTTGGTTCAGGATTCAACTGTGGAGAAGCAGTAAACTTTGCAGTGAGTGATTGGTTTCCATTAGGGGCTGAAGCTACAAGGCGTTATGCACATCTTGGAAAGATGCCTATGATTCCCTTTGAGGAACTTCTTTGTAATGAGGCAATGCTAATTTACAAGGCCCCAAATCTCAAAGGTTCAAATAACAAACTCAATTTGGAATCCGACCATGCTACTAAGCTATCTTTTATGCAGCTCATGCGATTTTACGACGAGGCTCTTTCAAGACTGGAGAGTTCAATAAAGTATTCAAGTTCTTCAAATTTTCTTGGTACTGTGGTATGCAGCCTCTGCTGTAGAGACTGTTATGTGGCTTTCTTTCTCTGCAAGTACTGCTTTACTCATCCCATTTGTATTTCCCATGATGGTAAGATATCATTATTGTCATTTGCTTAATAGTCATATTAGTTGCTTTCACTATTGATGAGAAAGTTAATGCTTAACCTGTTTATAACTCTTCACTTAATAGTTTAAGCATTTAAATTGAAGTGATCCTTTCTAATTACAGTCTGGCATGCAGATGATTTAAGATATATATCTATTGCGGTTTGATTTGCATCAAATTATGTCCTTATCTGAACTTCATGAATCTTTTCTTCATCTTTTTATTTTGCTATACAGAAATTGAGACTCAGAATTGCAAATGCGGCAGGCAATGCACACTTTTCAAGAGAGATGAAATGTTGGCACTGATGGATGCTGCCACAAGTTTTGACCTGGAAAAAGACATTTTGTTGGAAGTTCAAAGACATAGTGGAGCAAATATACTGTCACAGGCATTCTTTTACACTGACTAAGAAAGCATTCAAGATAATAAGGTATGTACTCTTTAATAAGTTAAGGACTAAATTTGTTTTTAATTCATTATTTGGATCTTCTAAAGATAAGTGTACATGAGGTTAGTAATGTTAAACTCATGTGCTGATACTATCTGTATGGTACCGGTACTTTGTGTTCCAACTTTATTAGCATTGATGTATTAATTCGTTTTATTATTTTGTGATCCTTTAAAGTGACCTTACTTAAAAGTGAAGAAAGAGATATAGACACATGATAATCGCGCCATTTTTATGACACCCACATATTAGAAGCGAGACCCATTATCATGTATCTATTCACTTCAATGGCTCTATATTCTTCAACTAACCCTATCAATGCTAACTTCCTAAATGGCATTACTTTTTGAATTTATGCAGGCTTAGGCTGAAGCTGGATAGAAATTTAAGCAGATGGCTTCTCTTTTTCATTTATAAAGAAATTAATGTATATAGAATTATAGAATTACTAGGGACGAGTAAGTGCAGCATATATTAATAGAGTGTGTATTGTTTCTGTAACGTTATAGTAGGAAGTAATGATTCAGTCTCATTGTATCCACATCCTCATATTATGGAAAAGTTCTTTTCTTTGAGTATTTTCATCATTTTATTATTTTTTATACTCTCCTCTTTATTGTAGCTTTGATGTCAACTTTAAGATTAATAATTGATTTCTTTGTTCTACAATTTCTTTTCTTGGCACACAACAGAGAATAATGATATGGTGGAATTAATTATCTAATTAGCTAAAGTATACATTTAGTCCTTTAATTTTGTAGAAAGTTTCACTTTAGTTCTTTAAATTTAAAAAGTATAAACGTAACTATTTTAGGATTACAGCACTAAATATATGTTTTTTAAAGTTAAGAAAGCAAATTGAAATGTTGTATAAAGTTAAATAATTAAATGTATGCTTTCGCCTTATCCAATTACATGATGTGAAATAAAGATATTTTATGAAAGTTAATGAAATATTTACAAATTATTAAATGCCCACATATTTACCTGGTATATTAGAGTTGTATATTGACTTCAAACCATTGATTATGATGTAGTTGAAAGTATGCCAAATAATAATTGAAAAAAGCTCTGTGTTCCAAATTCAAGACGAACATTCAACAATAAAGAAACTTAAGAACAAGATTATTTCTCAATAATTAACAACAATATCAACAGAACATTAATTTATAGAGCAGACACAGACATAGGATTAATTAATTAAACATATTGGACGTGGAACACAAATAAAGCAAATTAATGAGTAATAATCGTTGAAAGATTTTCATAACTGCCTCATCAGGGCTTCAAACTCTTCCATGGCAGAAGCACGCAAACCCAGAAGAACATTTATGTTCTTCCTCTCTCCCCCATGAGAGAGGAACAAGGCAACCTCTTTCTCAGGCAAGGTGACAGGCCCAGAACACAGAGGCTGTCCCCATCCAAAATCTGTGGTCTGGAAAGACAACCTAGTCCAAGTTGTAATCAAAAGCGTGGCTGTTAAGGAAGGCCTCGCTCTTGTCGTCTCAAAGTAATCTATAGCTGATCTCAAATACCTATCTGAAACCAAATCAATGGCCTTCTGAACCAACCCAACTGCGAATGATAGAGGATTCTTCAGCAACTCACCAGCCTCACACAGTGAATGTGTGAATAGTATGGCGTTTCCAAAGTAGCCTTCTGGTAATGGAGGAACGAATCTTGACCGTCCATTAACAGCAAAGAGAAGCTTGGTTTGTTGATTAGGTTTCATCTTCAAGGCTTCAGTACGAGCTCTCCATACAAAACCAGAAAGGGCTTCAAAAGTAGAGCACTTTTGAAGAACCCCATCTTGCATGGCCATTTTCTTGAGAAGTTCTTGTTTCTGTGGGTCGAAACAGAAGGACTTGTAGAGCAATATGTCTTCTTCTTCTTCTTTCTTCTCGTCCAGCTTCGTGGTATCTGATGATACGTCTTGTATCTCTGCAAATTCATGGTGAGGGAACTCTATAAGAGGAGGCTCGCGTGCTTCGAGAATGGTGCGATCAAGAAAAGGAGGAATCTTTAAGTCCAAGCCTCTTGCAATTTCACTCCATGAGTTTACGAATTCCATAGCACACAGTCCATCTTGCATACAGTGGTTAATGGCCAGCCCCAAAGTAAGTCCTCCACATTTGAATTTTGTAACCTAAAACATATCCATGGTTAGCTTCGGGCTATGCAAATTTTGTCTCCAAAGTCAAGTATTTTTTGCACCTGTTAGGTTATGCCTAGTTCATCCTTGATGGATTAGACCTAAATCCAATTGAGTAAAAGGCTGAAGTAATTTTCCTTTTCATTTGATAATAAAGAAAAAACAATTAAAATAGTAACTGGCAGGGGTCAAAAGAGACATATGGGGAATACAAAGTTTTTTCATAGAAAGTGTATATCATACTCCTTCTGATTCAAAATATAAGATAAACTTTATCCATTTATGTTTATAAAAAAATTAGTTAAAATTAGTTTAAAACAATCAATATGTAAAGCATGCATTTTTTCTCAAATATGCCCCTATTAATGAAGAGAATAAGTAAAAAATATAATAAAGAAATCAAAGAGAAAAGAGAATATATGTGGATAAAATTAAAAAAAACTCATTAAATGCTTAGACAAAAGTGAATGTTATCTTTTTTTTTTTTTTTTTAAAAAAAAGCCCCTTTAACAAAGTTTAAAAATTGATGCAAACTTTATAAAAAAATTACTGGGTCTACAAATAAGTATCGTAATTAGTAAAAAGTCATGTAACAAAATCACAAGTTCATACACACAAAATAACAAGAGATTATGTTGCTCATTTGTCATTTGGAATTTTTTGTAATTATAATTTTTTCTTGGAACCTCTGAATGATTTCCCCAACTTTATATTATAAAGTGATTTTCATGTTGACATCTCATAACAAAATACTGGCTATCTCCTAATACCAAAATACTAAGCGACCCCCAAGTAAGGAATATAATCATCAAAACGTCACATAATAAGTGAATGACAAGTTCCGTTGTTCCGGTATAGGACATGACATGCAGATCCAACTATTCACTTGTTACGAAGATTTTTTTTTAATAATTATGTTTCCTTTTTTGAAACCTCACAATGATTTGCCCAACTTCATATTATACGTGTTTTTTAATTTGACATCTAATAACAAAATACATAGTGGCTATGTCCTAGTATCAACAACGATTTCCTTCATCTATAACGACTTATAGGAATTTATATATACGTATCTAACTGAGATAAAAGTCAAAGTGAAACCTGAACAGTCATAAGAGGCATCTCAAGTATGTTGTTGGCACCAGGAACGTTATAAACTAGTTTCCCAAGAGTTGAAGGATTAGGGTTTGTGATCAAATCTCCAATTTCCTCAATCTCATCACAGCTTGTTTCTTCAGCCTCAACGAACATTACACCTTCACCAGTACAATTAACTATCAACTTCCCTTCAGAACTTACAGTTAACCTGCCAGCCATGGGGTAATAAGGGACAAGAATCTTGGACAACGCTTGTCTGATTACTGTTGCAGCATCCTCGTTGCCCCTTGAACCTGCAGATTTGAAACAATAAACTGTACGAATCATAACTGCTACGTTCTGGTCAAGGTTTGAAAGGAAGTAAAGCCCTTTCTCTGTTTCTTCTGCCGGTGCAACCAGAATTGGTCCTCCTACTTGCTTCACATCAAGCTCAACTTCCTTTAATTCTTTTGCCTTTGCCATGAACCTAAAAGGAAAAAAAAAAATGAATATAGACTTTAAGGCTTTGTTTATTCTGGATATAGGATGGAAAATAGAGGGATGAGAATATTAGGAGAAAAACCTACATATGTTGGTCCTAATATAAACAGTTACCGTAAACACGAGGTTTTTAGTTCAAATCCGTATAAATATAGGAAATGTTTTCAGGAGAGCTGCTTCTAAGTGGACATGATACTATATATTTCGATTTAACTTGCTGAATATCAAACAGGTATATCAGAAAAGAATATAAGGGGGGAAACCTTCCAAGGGAATAATTAGCTCAGGCGTATAAATCTACTGCTGTGAATCTGAAATGCAGAAACTTCAAATTGTGTGGGCATTTGGTTTAAGCGTGGGATATATACACACACACATATAAATATATAAATATATATATAAAGGTGGCAGAGAAGAGGAAGCTATTAAGAATCTTGAGTTGGTGGCATCACCACATAATAAATAAAAATTATATATATAAAAAAGTGAATTAAAGCAAGAGAAGAAAAAGAGAACGTGCCTTATCGAAAATCTTTAGTTCATATCTCATGTTTGATGAAAAAAGGGACGGAAATTAAGGGATGGTCAATTCAAATGTTTATTTTGGCCGGAAAAAAAAATTCAAATGTTTATACGCGCAGCCAAAATTGATGGCCAATTCATCAGGTACGCATGCATGATTATCTGTACTTATGATAGATATTGTTTATCAAAGTAGTTAAATAAACAAGGATAAAGTAGCATCCAATCCTGACGACGTTGTTTTTCTAGTGCTCCTAATACTTTAATAGTATTGTCAGTTTTTAATATAAGAACTAGATAACTGAATCGGGGATATTAAGAAAATTATTTAAATTAACTATGTGTCACAAACGTTTGTTGATGTTCATAAACTATCATCTTCAATCATGTGTATTAGTTGATTGGAATCATCACTTGGTGGGAACCCTGCCTTACAATTAATAGGGATATTTTGAGAAAAAATAGGAAACAAAATTGATTAAAGTCTTATATTTAAGACTAAATTAAATTTTCAACTAGCTCTTAATATAAGAACCAGAGATAGTATTATTTATAATGCATCTAGCACCCTAAATTATAAATAAGATTATGGTATTAGATGTAGCTAAAAAATAACATCAGAGATACACCGGATGTACCAAGAAAATAATATCATACTAAAAAAAGATTAGGGAAATAACGTCTCAGTGTTAGATACTTAGATGCTTACTTTAACCAATAATAAATAATGTTGTAATTTTATTTACAAGTAGATTTAATTTGCTCAGACACGTTATCATCATAAAATTTCAGGAGGAGAGTTAACTTCATTATTATATATGTAGTTTGTTAATATTTACACGATATTGAATGGAATTAATCAAACGATCTTGCGGAATAACTGCCGTAGCATAATAATAATAAAAGCAATATTATAGCAGTGAGGGGACCAAGGTAACGTGTACAAAGCCAAGTTGAGAATAAAATAATAAAATTCTAAAGCCATGTGGAGGGGAAAAAAAACTTGCAAATAATATTTTGATTTTATCCGTATTGATGTGATAATATTTAATTTAAATTGCTGACTTTGTCTGATTATGATTCATGTTATCTTTTATTTTGAGTTAAATGCTTTTTTTTTTTGGTCGTGAAGCATTCGCAAAGAGCAATGTGTATATCTAAAGACTCCTTCCCACCTTATATATAATTTACAATTAACTAAATTATGTACATCAAAATGTTTTCTAAATTAGTTAAAAGAAATAAAAGTATGCAATTCCAATTCTTATTATAAGTCACTTGTAGGATATTTAATGATCATTTTTTAACTTTACCTTTATTTAATTTTCTTTGGAAAGAGAGAGGGAGAAAAGAGAGGTGAGAAAGATTTGTAAATGTAGAAAGAGAAATTTTTTTAATAAATTTAAATTTAAAAAATTTATCAATTTAATACATTTTTTAGTATGTGAGAATAAGTTAATAGTAACTTGAGAACTGAAGTGATAAGCAACATAATTTTTTCACAATATAAATTACAATTGAGTAAAAGGCTGAAGTAATTTTCCTTTTTATTTGATAATAAAGAAAAAACAATTAAAATGGTAACTAGCAGGGGTCAAAAAGAGATATATGGGGAATACAAAGTTTTTTCACAGAACGTATATACTCTTCCGATCCTAAATATAATACACATTTCATAATATAAATTACATTATAAAATGGGTCTTATATTTAGGACCGGAGGAATATTATACTCCTTATGGTTTAAAATATAAGATGAATTTTATCTATTTATGTTTATCAAGAAATTAATTAAAATTAGTTTAAAACAATAAATATGTAAGGCATATATTTTTTTCCCAATATGCTTTTACTAATAAAGAGAATAAGTAAAAGATGTAATAAATGAATCAAGGAGGAAAGAGAATATATGTGGGCAAAATTAGGAAAAAAAGCTCATTAAATGCTTAGATAAAAGTGAATGTTATTTTATTAAAAAAAAATCATTGAAAAAAAAGTTTAAAAATTGATGCATAGAGAAATTATTATGCGGTCTACAAATAAGCATCATAATTACTAAAAAGTCATGTATAACAAAATCACAAGTTCATACAAAAAAAAAAAGATTATGCTGCTCATTTATCATTAAAATTTTTTGTAATTATACTTTTTTCTTAGAACCTCTGAGTGATTTCCTCAACTTTATACTACTTCTGGTCCTTAATATAAGACTCCGTTTGACTTTTTGTTTGGTCCTAATTATAAGACCCCAATCCATTTTGTCTTTCATATTTATACATTTTTTTCCAAGATAGTCCTTCTAATAATAATAGTTTTAGCTAATACACTTAATTAGCAAAGATATTTTAGGAATAACAACACTTATTTATTACAAATAACTAATTTAATTTCCTTCCTTAATCTCCTCAAATAAGTCAACTGGGTCTTATAATTAGGACCGGAGGTAGTATTATAAAGTGTTTTTGATGTTGACATCTCATAACAAAATACTAGCCATGTCCTAGTATCAAAATACTATGCGATCCCCAAGTAAGAAATGTAATTATCAAAACGTCATAAAATAAGTGAATGACAACCTTGTTTTGGTGTAGGAAATAACAAGAAGATCCAACTATTTACTTCTTAGTAAGATTTTTTTTTTTAATAACTACATTTTTTGAAACCTCACAATGATTTTCCCAACTTCATGTTATACGTGTTTTTTAATCTTGACATCTCATAACAAAATACTGGCCGTGTCCTGGTATCAACAAAGATTTCCTTCATCCATAACGACTTATAGGAATTTATATATACGTATTTAACTGAGACGAAAGTCAAAGTGAAACCTGAACAGTCATAAGAGGCATCTCAAGTATGTTGTTGGCACCAGGAACACTATAAACCAGTTTCCCAAGAGTTGAAGGATTAGGGTTTGTGATCAAATCTCCATTTTCCTCAATCTCATCACAGTTTGTTTCTTCAGCCTCAACGAACATCACACCTTCACCAGTGCAATCAACTATCAACTTCCCTTCAGAACTTAAAGTTAACCTGCCAGCCATGGGGTAATAAGGGACAAGAATCTTGGACAATGCTTGTCTGATTACTGTTGCAGCATCCTCGTTCCCTCTTGAACCTGCAGATTTGAAACAATAAACTGTACGAACCATAACTGCTACGTTCTGGTCAAGGTTTGAAAGGAAGTAAAGCCCTCTCTCTGTTTCCTCTGCTGGTCCAACCAGAACTGGTCCTCCTACTTGCTTCACATCAAGCTCAGCCTCCTTTAATTCTTTTGCCTTTGCCATGAACCTAAAAGGGAAAAAAATGAATAGACTTTAAGGCTTTGTTTATTCTGGATATAGGATGGAAAATAGAGGGATGGGAATATTAGGAGGGAAACGTACTTATTTTGGCCCTAATATAAAGATTCAAATCCGTATAAATATAGGAAATGTTTTTAGAGGAGAGCTACTTCTAATTGGACATGATAATATATATTTGAATTTAACTTGCTGAATATCAAACAGGTATATCAGAAAAGAATATCAGGATGGAAAACTTCCAAGGGAATAACTAGGGCTCAGGTGTATAAATATACTGGTGTGAATCTGAAATGCAGAAACTGCAATTTGCGTGGGCATTTGGTTTAAGCGTGGGGTGTGTGTGTGTGTGTACACACACATATATAAAGGTGGCAGAGAGAAGAGGAAGCTATCAAGAATCTTTCAGTTGGTGGCATCACCACATAATACATGAAAATTATATATATGAAAAAGTGAATTAAAGCAGGAGAATAAAAAGAGAACGTGCCTTATCGAAAATCTTTGGTTATCTCATGCTTGATGAAAAAGGGACGAAATTTAATGGATGGTCAATTCAAATGTTTATTTTGGCCAATAAAAAGAATTCAAATGTTTAGACACGCAGCCAAAATTGATGGCCAATTCATCAGGTACGCATGCATGATTATCTGTACTTATGATAGATATTGTTTATCAAATAGTTAAATAAATAAGGATAAAGTAGCATCCAATCGTGAGGACGTTCTTTTTCTAGTGCTCCCAATATTTTAATACTACTGTTAGTTTTTAATATAAGAACTATTGGAGATATTAAGAAAATTAATTAAACTGGCTATGTGTCACAAATATGTGTTGATATTCATAAACTATCCTCTCTTCAATCATGTACATTGGTTGATTGGAATTATCACTTGGTGGGAACCCTTTACTATAAATAGGGATATTTTAAGAAAAAATAGGAGACAAAGTTAGTTAAAATCTTATATTTAGGACTAAATTAAATTTTCGACTAGGTCTTAATATAAGGATCGGGGGTAGTATTATTTTTAGTGCATCTAGCATCCTAAATTATAGATAAGATTATGGTGATAGATACAGCTAAAAAAGGATGCACCAAGAAAATAACATCATACTAAAAAAAAGATTAAGGAAATAACGTCGTAGTGTTAGATGCTTACTTTAACCAATAATAAATAATGTTGTAATTTTATGTTCAAGTAGATTTAATTTGCTCAGACACGTTATCATCAGGAAATTTCAGAAGGAGAGTTAACTTCATTATTATATGTGGTTTGTTAATATTTGCACGATATTGAATGGAATTGATCAAACGATCTTGCGGAATAAGTGCCGCAGCATGAGAATAATAGCAATATTATAGCATTGAGGGGACCAAGGTAACGTGTACAATTACAAAGCCAAGTTGAGAATAAAATAATAAAATTCTAAAGCCATGTGGAGAAAAAAAAAACTTGCAAATAATATTATGATTTTATCTGTATTGATGTGATAATGTTTAATTTAAATTGCTGACTTTGTCTGATTATCATTCACGTTATCTTTTATTTTGAGTTAAATGCATTTTTTTTGTCGTGAAGCTTTCGCAAAGAGCAATGTGTGTATCTAAAGACTCCTTCCAATGTTATATATAATTTACAGTTAACTAAATTATGTACGTCAAAATGTTTTTTAAATTAAAGGAAATAAAAGTACACAATTCCAATTCTTATTATAAGTCACTTGTAGAATATTTAATGATCATTTTTTAATTTTACCTTGATTTAATTCTCGTTGGAAAGAGAGAGAGAAAAGAGGTGAGAAAGATTTGCAAATGTACAAAGATATTTTTAATAAAGTTAAATTTGAAAAATTTTATAAATTTAATACATTTTTTTAGTATGTGAGAATGAGTTAATAGTAACTTATAATGAGGACGGAAGTGGTAAGCAATATAATTTTTTTTTTCCCTTCTATACATATTCTTATTTATAGGGAGAGTAAATGAGATAGGGTGGCAAAAAAGTGAGAGAGAATATTTGGCAATTAATCTACAATCATGCATTTAATAAGGGTAAAAATAAAGAGAATAGATTAAAATTTCAGACAAAAACAAAGCAAAACTTATATACAGGACCAGTTCTATCCCATAGAGTGTGTCCTTTTTTTGTTTTGTTTTTTTTTTCCGGTGGCATATTAGAGTGTATCTTATGCGTAGGATTGGAGGAATTATATGAAGATGAGTGACTTTAACGGAGTTCAGACGGCTTTAAACATTTAAACTGAAGCCCACAAAAGTTGACATATGGCATGTTCATGTGTGAAGAGATTTTTGGGGGAAAATCATGTTTGTCCTAAAAGTATTTGAAAAGGAGCAATTGACACTCTAAAGTTTAATAATGTAAAACAATTAGTATTATTTATGTAAGACATATTATATTACCTTTGGTCTTAATTATAAGATATTATTTATAGTCTACAAACGAGATATTATAATTAGAATTTGTAAAGGGGTAAGTGACACTCTAAAGTTTAATAATGTAAAGCAATTAGTATTATTTATATAAGAAATGTATTTTACTACTTTCGGTCCTAATTATATGACATTATTTATAATTTACGAACAAAATCTTATGATTAGAATTTGAGGTAGTATTAACTAGTGAGTATGTAATTTAATATTTAATACACACACAAACAAGTCAATGTTGGGTTTAAATCTGGAATCTCTTCATTCAAGCACATGTAGTATTGCCTCTAAAATAACTAACCGTTGACTTAGGGTTTATTTGGCTCAATGAGAGGAAGGGGAGGAGAGGAGAATAGAATGATTTTAATATTATCTTATTTGGATTTATAAAAAGGAGGGGAAGGAAGGAGTTTTAATATTATCTTGTTTGGTTCATGAGGGGAGGGGAGGGGAGGGAAAAATATTTTGACATGGACAATTTTGCCCTTATTTTATTTAAGATTATTTTTTCAAATTTTATAGAATGTTTAATAAAATAGAATTGTAAATAACATTTAATATATTGAGCAATACTTATACCAAAATTCCAATATACTCTAGAGTGTAAAGTATTATTGAAAAGAAAGTTGAAGTAATATTCAGCCACAACTTGTACTGTTTCCCATCTTTAAATGAAATATTTGGTCATGTAAAGAAGAGAGAAGCGTCTGGAGACAATAAAAAAGAAGAAGAAGGATTTAAGGTAGTATAGGGGTATTAAAAATAAATATGGACATAATGATCAGAACATAATAAAATATTATATTTTCTCTTCAAATCCTCCCAATTTTGGAAGGGAGGTTGAGGAGAAGAGGGGAAGAAATTTTTTTTTTTTAATTTTTTCTCCCCTCCTAAAATTTGTGTATTGTCAAACAAGGAGAAATGATTAAAATCCTTCTCCTTCCCTCTCCTCCCCTCAAAATCTCTCATATCAAACGCACTTTTTTGCATAAATTGGCAAACTTTTTGATGACTTAAAATACAAAATGCCTGGTTGTCCATTTCTTCCTCTATGCGTGTGTTAATGTTGACCGCCAAAGCGGGCTTACATTTCATTTTTACAGTCCGATGCTATGATTAGCAACTCCGAATATATACATATAACCCCGTGGTAATACCGTCTGTTGAATGTTGGTTTAAGGTCACTTGATTTTTTTGGCTAACAAATATACAATTGAAAATTTGGAAGGCAAGCCATGTGTGACCCCAACTGTTTTAAGGAGGGGAAAAAATAATAATAAATGTACCAATTGTTCCACATTATTAAATTTTAGGACACTCTTCTGATCCTAAATATAAAACTCATTTTTGTAATTAAAAAGAATTTAATATTTAAGACCAGAAGAGTACAATTTATTTCTCCCAATTTAAATCCGCTAAATTTTAGCCATATTGCATTATTTTTAAAACATTAAGCATCTAATTAGAGTTCAATCTCTTGTGGTATGTATAGAGTGTTGGGGCTAGCGCTAAAATCCCTTCAGGAATTTATGATACGAGGGAATTAATTACTACTATTGGCAAAGAATATCCGGCTCAGCCAAAAAAAAATAAAAAAGTGGAATAATGCAGTCAGGTTTTATTTCATGAGCTTTCCTTGCACGTCAATCCATGAGAAATATCAAATACCACCTCTGGTTCTAATTATAAGACCTCATTTGTAGTTTACAAACGAGGTCTTATAATTAGGACCGGAGGTAGTATATACATTTGAAATCCCACTAGCCTAGGTCAAACCATGGTTTTAAGTAGCTTTGTCCCCAAAAGTTGCTAAAGCTTGTTTCCAACTAGTTACTAAATGATAGTCTCATAGAAACTGTTATCTCTAGTCATCGTCTAGTATTCCAGCAACAATCTCATTTACACCAGCGGGACACCAGAGTAATGGCTTCTAGAGAATCAGTGTAGATGGACGCCTAACAACATGCTAGTTCCCAACAATGTTAGGTAAGACCATAAGAGACCTAAATTTTTCATGCCGATTTAAGCTAAATCCATCCAATCCCAGCAAACAAGACGAAGAGATTCATGACCCAGACGATTGAGCAACTTCATGTTGAAGCCCTAAGTTCACACATGAGTAGAGTTGTGCAAAAGCCATCCTCATGAAACCAGCAGCCTCACCCTGAACAAGCAAATCAAATTTCCACCAATCAAGTAGTTTAGGCTTTCTTCCATCATCTACCTAGAGAAGTCACTTCTTCAATTGGATGCTTCGAGTCTCCACTCTCCAGTGTGAGGTAAAATATTCACAAATTTCGACCATTTAAACTTCATGCTATTCCTCCATCTACTCTTGTACAACTTGGATGGCCGTATTGCGCATTTACAGGATCACATCATCAGCGAAACAAGGTTAAAATTTACCAGACCAACATGACGACGCCGGAGTTACATCTAAAACCTAATCCAAACAAATTATAATACAGCAAGTCAACAGAGATGTCTTTGTAAACATCAAAAAATGTGACACGACTAAGTGCTCAAGTAAAATAAGTCTAAATTGTTAGTTCTCCACAAAAGAACCAAGCGGCGGTTGAAATTGATAAAAATTTAGATATAATACACCCTAACAATTCAAACGATTTACGATTTATGAACCATACAAATCATTTATTAAATTTCATAAAATGCATGAGACCTACACCAGTTATCTTGTAAAAACAGAAAGTAAAATAGATCAGGGTGAAAAGTACCAACAACGTTCATATTTATTGATGAATATGTCCAATCACCACATTTTTTTTTTTTTAATTTGGGAGTTTTGAGAGAAGGAAGGTCCTGAATCTGATGAAAAAGAAGGAACGACAAGAGAAGAACTAGTTAGGTGATAATTTTCACCCACATTGATTTGTGAAACTTCTCCAATATCCCCCAAAATTATCCCCAAATGAAATTATCCCTTCCCTTCAGTCCATTATCTCCCATCTAAGCATACTCTTTCGACATTTCCATCTTCATTACACAAGTTAAAAATGCAGTTAGAGGTCCAATTTTCTTCCAAATTTTACAGAGTGGCTGATCCTTAGTTCCTGACTTGGAGTAGCTTGATTATAATACCCTTTCATCCTAGACTTTCGGAGACTTTACAGCTCTAAAACTATTCTAAATATCTTAACTTCTTCATAAGCTTTTTAAATCTTCTTCCAACCGAATCCCAACGCAGAATTCTACAGCTTTTAGTATGGCGCAACATCACATTCTACTATCTTAATTACCAACAAAAAACATATTCTTAGCTTGTCAAGATGTATATGTGCCCACAAGTACAAGGACAAGTCCCTTGTATAAATCAACCCACTCAGATATTTCAGAGGAGAAACCTTTGTAAGTAGAAAATACAAATTTTATTGATATTAAAAAAAAAAAAAAAGAATATACAAATTTTATGAGCTTTAAATCCAAAGCCACAATTGCATGAACTATGATATCATTGCATACATAAGCACATTTGATTGATCCTCTTAAACTGGTTTACAATCTCAACCATACTGACTATTAAGATGCATTCAAATTCAAGTGTTATAATTGAACTAGCCATCATCACTGAATCAAGGAATGGAACCTGGAGTCATTCAAAATGATCAATACCAAGGGCAATAGCAACAATGCCGACCCACAAATTGCATTAACAACATTATAAGATGTAAAATTTGTGAGGAAGTAAAACATAATCCACAGCCTAAATCGTTCGTGTCTGAAACTCAAAGCAGAACTTATATCAATGTCTAGAGTTAACCAAAACAACAATACATTTTATGAATGCATTCCGCTCATAGCATCTAAGTTAAAATTATACTATTGGCTCCCAACAATCAACACAAAATATTTAAAAGCATTAATGATTTTCTGTACATAGAGCTGTGAAACGCAAAAACCATTCAAGAATTCAAATCTAATTATTGCTACAAGACCAAGTTTTGTCTTTATAATATCATTAAAGACTGTATTCAGATTTGAAGATCTAAGAAGAGACCATTATTTTCATCATCTATAAACTATAAAGTTGCCGAACAAGTTAATACTTCATCCTTCAATTGACTAAAAAATGACACTAGGAATATAGTACATACATACCTTCATAATTTTTTCTCCCCAGGTTTGTACAAAACCCCATATCAAATTCTGAAATATGAATGCTACTTTGGAAAATGTTATCAATCAAAAGGGTCATACAAGTAGGTACTACACTGGAATTGATACAACAGAATCAGTATCCCAAGATACTTGGATCCCCTATAAACTCTGCAATTTGTTCAAGCCGCACATTGACCAGTGCATGGGTGTCAGCATCTCTAACAACAGCCATTTCTTTGTCCAAATCCCTCTCAACTAGACTGCCATAAATGCCTTTATGTTTACCATATAATACCAGAACTGGGCCCCCTCGACGAGGGATAGCAGTCTCAAGAAGGTCTTGGGAAATCCCCTGGATGATCTCCTTGCTATCATCTATAGATATATCGCAAGTAGTAGGCCCAACAACGTCCAATACCTGTCCCTTCTTCAAATATAACCGCCCTCCTTTGAAATCTTTGCTAATAACCCTGACCCGTATATGACTAGTAAGCCATGAAACTCGTTTTTTCCCCTGCTCTTCCTTCCTACTATCTCTCTTAACGTCAACTACAACCTCATCACGGCCTCTCCTTCCCTCCTCCCTATTGCGTTTATTCCTTGAATCTCTATCTTTATGAGTATCCTGAATCTTTAATTCCTTCAATTTCTTCAAAAACCTCTCTTCTTCAATAGAGCCCAGTTCTACAAAATCTTGAGGGCCCACTTTCACTTCCTCTTCACTTTTCACAAGTTTTAAAACAACCCATTTATCTTCAACCTCTCGTACAATTTTACCCTTCAGACCTGCATTTTTGCCCTCAACTATTCTAACAACCTTCCCCACTAATGAACCCTCTCTGCCATGCTCCTTAGGTATCTTCACTTCCTCCTTCGAATTCCGCTTACGAGCATGATCACTAACAAAACCCAACCCTTCTTTGGCAGTCCTCCTCTCATACTGTACAACTTTCACATCCTCCTTGGCATTCTTTCCAATGCCCATCCCTTCACGCCATCCATACCCAGCTAGCAAAGCTGCACCAAAACCCTCAACAGCGACATCTTTGAACTCCTCAAAACCTCTGTGGTCCGGTAACCTCTCCATATCATCCTTAAACTTCTGCAGCACCACAGAGTCCAGAGAAACAGGCCGCGACCTACCGTTATTATCACTATCATCACCCCCACTCCCAGCAGCAGGTTTCTCCCCGTCCCCATCATTCTTCTTTGTCTGCCGAAGATTCAGACCATAAGACATGTCCGAACCGGGTTCCACAACCGTCGACGTATCCAGCTCAAATCCCAACTCGGTTACATTAGATTCAGTGATGGGTAAGTCTAGATTCTTCATTCTCTTGTAGGACCTCCCTAAATTCCACTCGTTCTCAATGGGGGGAATAACCGTGGTGGCTTTGTTAGGATCAGAAGGGGATTTCGATGCATCGAACTCTGTAACATACTCTCTGGCGTTGGACTTTCCATCTTTGGTATCGGAAGCGGCGGCGTCGAATTTGTTGGAGGACCTGATGGGGTTTGACTTGGTGTTGGATTTCGATTGCACAGAGAAAGAGAGTTTCATGGTAGGAACTGAGATAGGTCCGATGCAAAGGATTTCGACAAATAGCGATGAAAAATTACAACACCGGAAGGCGAATTGTTGGTTACCTGATTATAACAAAGATTAAAAAGCTATTCCCTTCCGGAAGGTTGACAGCAACGGCGATTAGGGCTTGACACGAAAACTCGGCGGAGATGGGGAGGAGAACACTCGAGCAGGGAAAGCGGCTTCGCGTTCAACCCCCGAGTCAATTACCCAATTTTTTAATTTTAAAAATTAGTACTTTATACATTAGTTATTAGAGAGGTGGAAAATTAAATTTAGAAAAAATAGTAAATAAAGACCCAATCTCATATTGCAAATATGAAATCTTGGTGAAATATCTAAAATGCCCCTCAGTCAAATGATAAGTTGATTATAAGAAATAACAAGTTCATTTTAGTGAATAACAACTCCAGTAGACCAAATTACAACTTGACTGAGGGTATACCAAATGACAAATTGACTATGGGAAATGTCAAATTCACTTTAGCAAATGACAACTTCAATAGATCAAATCACAACTTAGCTGAGATGCATTTCAGACATTTCACGAAGATTTCATATTTGCAATATGAGATTGGTCCTTTTCTTGCTATTTTTCAAATTGAAAATCCCAAATCATAATTTCATATTAGGAATTTTTTTGCAATTTTTCCTTAAATTTAAATGGTTTGACTAATAAACTTGTATATTTAAATTACTCGCTTTCACAGAAGATATTTGTATTCAAGGTCAAAAAAGATTTTAAGATATCTGTTATTTTTTTATGTATGATTCAAGGTCACTTCTAAGCTATAGCTTACCATCTAACCTTATCAATAAAAATAAATATTCGTCTCTCTGACTTTATTGCAGGATTTAATTTAGTTTTTATAATTTTATAAAATATCATTTTAATCTTTAACTCCAACACCTATCTCAATAACCAAAAAAAAAAAGTTGTTATTACAATTTTAAATATTTACAAAACGTTCTAAAATATTAATATAAAGACTTAGGTATGGTTTATTTTTAATGAATGCAACTCTTTATTAACTCTATGTATTTCGTTCTTGATTATATGTAAAACGGAAGATATTTGGACATAGGACTGTTTAGAATAACTGATAAATAATTTTTAATCATAATTTACAGAATATAAAATACGTATATAAAAAGAGTTTTGTTTTGCTTCATGTAAAACCTGTTTCACTTGCAAGTTATAAACACGTTTACATGAAGTGTGCCTTAAATGTCTCAGGGTTTCTGGGAGCAGCTTGGTTTTATTAGTTTTGTTGATAACTATTGAATCAGACTTTTATCCAGGCTTGGGAAGTGCGTTATCTGTATCAAATGTAACACTTTTGAGTTGATTTGCAAATCCAAGTCTTATAAGGGCGACTTGTTTGTTTGGACTTGATAAATACAATAAGATTTATTTGCATTAACCGTGTTTGGTGCCGGGATCCAAAGAAAAGCCTTTAATTTACTTGGCGGGAGGTATATTAATGACCCATAGCATGTTCACAGGCAAAGTAGAATTTTATCTCCTAGTATTGTTAGGTGGATGGATAACTTAGCATTCATGATTCACCTTTAATTATTGTTAAATATTTGAAGAAAGCTACGTTTGAGCTTCACTTAACAGTTTAAGTTATGATAGATGGGTGCAATACTCATACTTACAGGATAGGCTTGCTAGCAATTACAGCATAAAGTTACTCCTGAGCTTTTTGGTTGAAATTGGCCCTTCAAAAAAGCTAGTATTTCTTGCATCCCATGTCGAGTAGCTCATTTGTTTCTGTTGTCATGTTAAACTTTGTTGATCAAAAGTCATGTTCTTCCATTGCATTCCACATATTTAACTTCTCTGATTAGTATTCATGCGCTTTAAGCAGCCCAATATATGGTTTTGACTCTTGGTAACTCTGTTTTAGTGTTTTGTTACTTTGTACCTTTTGTTAGACTATTTGCGCTGAGACTGATATTGTTATCATTGTTAGAATAAAAGAAACATCAAGCTCAAGCAGATTTGATCATTTGGTGGCTTTGTTTCTGATGCAAAACACTAACATCTCAACCATTGGCACATCCTTCTGGATTGAAGTTGAAGTCTCTTGCTGATGTTGTCTCCAAGCTCTGCATTAGAGGCTAGCTAGTTCTTCTCTTTTCCCCATTGGGTTTTTTTGGTTTGCTTTGTGGTGTCTCAAAGAGCCCTGTTATTTTCATGATTTGGATATGTGTGTAATCTCAAATGGCTTAAAAGCCGATACATCATAGCCCTATAATCTTAATGAAGCTTATATTTACTCGCAGAACCCTACTAAATCCTTTTCTTGTGAGAAATCATAGTTTCCATATTTCATCCTCGTTCAAGCCCGGCCCTCATGATGATGACGACGACGACGACGACGACTCTCATTTTGCCTCTAAGCTTTCAGAGATCGTTCGTGGGAAGCAAAGTTGGAAAGTGGCTTTCAATGACTCCTTGATTTCAGGCAAATTAAGATCTCATCATGTTGAAAAAGTCTCGATAAGGACAATCGATCCAAGTTAGCTTTGAGGTTCTTCAACTTTTTGGGTTTGCACAAAAATTTCAACCATTCCCCAGCCTTATTTTCTATTTTGGTTCATGCTCTTGTGCAGGCGAGGCTTTTCTGGCCTGATAATTCGTTGTTGCAGACCCTCTTCCTGCATGGGTTAGACCCAAAAGCGGTTTTCTCAAATTTTTTGGATGCTTACAGGAAATGCAATTTTCCGTCCAGCATGGGTTTTGATTTGTTGGTTCAAAATTATCTCCAGAGCAGGAATCATGCAGTGAAGATTGTAAAGCTTATGATAGCAAACAGCTTGTTGCCTGAAGCTAGGACACTTAGTGCCCTTTTGAACGGACTTTTGAGGATAAGCAATGTATAATGGTTTAAGAATTATTTAACAAGCCTGTGAATGCTAGCGTTCAACCTGACGTTTAATACTTGCACTGCTGTTATCCGGAGCCTGTGTGAGTTGCTAGATTTTGCTAGAGCTAAGGAAAAGATTATGTGGATGGAATCAAATGGGTTCATTTTCCGTATTGTACCTTATAATGTATTGATTCATGGCCTTTGTAGGACTGAGCATATTTGGGAAGCTGTTGATGTCAAAAAATCATTGGACGAAAAGGGTCTAAAAGCAGATGTGGTTACACACTGTACACTAATACTTGGTCTTTGCGGAGTGGAAGACTTCGAGGCTGCATTGAAGTTTGTGGACGAAATGATTGAGTCTGGTTTTGTTCCTACTGAAGCAGCTATTTCAGGGATAGTGGAAGGACTGAGAAAGCAAGGAAAGATTAATACTGCTTATAATGTTATAATAAAGGTGGGAAGATTCAGTTCGCTACCAAATTTGTTTGTTTATAATTCACTGATTAATTCTTTGTGTAAAAAATGGTGATTTAGATAAGGCAGAATCACTATATAATTGGATGTTCTTGATGAACTTGCAAACCAATGATATCACATATTCTATTCTTATTGATTCGTTTTGCAGAAGGGGGAGGGTGGATGCTGCTATATCTTATTTTGATAAGATGATAGAATCCGGTAGAAAAGTAACAGTATGCCCCTACAATTCTTTGATAAATGGCCAATGCACTTTTGGGAATATGAGTGCTGCTGAGTCTCTGTTCGCTGAGATGATCAATAAGGGGTTGGAGCCAACTGTCATAACCTTCACATCATTGAGTAGTGGATACTGTAAAGATCAACAACCACAAAAGGCGTTTCAAATATATAATGAGATGATTAAGAAAGGGGTTGCTCTAATGTTTATACATTCACAGCACTTATTTCTGGGCTCTGTAATGGTGATAAGCTGTTTGAAGCCAGCCAACTTTTTAATGAAATGATTGAACAGAAAATTCTGCCAAATGAGGTGACATATAATGTGATGATTGAAGGGCATTGTAGAGGAGGTAACATTGGTAGGGCCTTCGAATTACTAGAAGAGATGCTTCAAAAGGAACTTGTGCCAGACAGGTATACTTACAGGCCTCTTATTCATGGCCTTTGCTCTACTCATAGGGTTTCTCAAGCGAACGATTTCAAAGATAGCCTCGACAAGAAGAATCTCAAGTTAAATGAATTGCGCTATACTGCTCTTCTACAGGGTTATTGTCAAGAAGGAAGATTGATGAGGCATTGACTGCTCTGCAGGAAATGATTCAGAGAGGAATCAACATGGACATGGTTTGCTATGATGTACTTGTTGATGATTCTCTGAAGAAGCAAGGCATGAAAGCATTATTTGATCTCTCAAAAGAAATGCATGATCAAGGATCGAAGCCTGATAGCCTGATGTATAAAAGCATGATTGACACTTGACAGCGAAGCAGGATCTTCTGAGAAGGCTTTTGAATGTTCGAAATTGATGATTACTAGAAATGCTTTCCGAATGCTGTGACTTATACTGCTTTGATTAATGGCTTATGCAAGGCAAGGGAAATGGACAGAGCAGGACTTATTTTTGAAAAAATGTTGGATGCCAATGTACTTCCAAATTCAGTTGCATATGGGTGCTTTCTTGATCACCTCACAAAGGAGGAATATATGAAGGAAGCGGTAGGGCTTCACAGTGCAATACTTAAGGGCCTTTCAGCAAACACTGTGACATATAATATTCTTATTCGTGGCTTCTGTAAATTGGGTAAATTTTTAGAATCTACCAATCTTCTTTCGAAAATGTCTGAAAATGGTGTTTCCCCAGACTGCATTACTTATTCAACATTTATTTATGAGTATTTCAGAAGGGGTAATATAGAAGAAGCAGCTAGGTTGTGGGATGCCATGCTAAGCAAAGGTCTAAAGCCTGATAAGCTGGCATATAACTTTCTAATATATGGTTGTTGTGTTAATGGACATCTTGACAAGGCACTTGAGTTGCATGATGACATGATAACAAGAGGGATGAAGCCAGCCCGGGTCATATAGAATCCTGTTGCAGAGATGTGGCTGAAAGTTGGAAAGCTCTTCTTTCTGAAATGGTGGATGACACTTGAAGTAGCTTGGAATTTTTGGGCACACAGTTTTCAGTGACCCCTGTGATATAATTCTATTGGAAATTCAAAGAGCCTTGAAAATGGTCATCATTTGCAACAGTGAAAACTGTTTATTTTCTATGAACAAAAGCACCATTTCTCTAATATTTTATCAATTGCAGATAGTTTTCATTCCCCCTTGTTGCAAACCACAGACAAAGGACATGAACATATTGACGTGACAAACTTAAAAGATTAGGACATGACTTACCCATATGAAGCACCTTAAAAGCTTGAACTATTACCAACAGGATTTGGATCTAGTGGAAAGGGTTAATTTCTCACAACGTGATGAATTAAAGTTTGAATTCTCAGTGAGAGAGGTACCCACATTTAATACTTGACAACGTCTCAAACGTAATTGCCTTCACTACAAGGATACATGTGCTTACCCAAAAAAACAAAAAACAAAAGCTTGGACTGTTTATTTTTGCAAAGATTCCGCAAACAAGGATTTTAACTACACCATTTGAGCTGTTTATGTATAAGCACGCAAAAAATAATAGAAGGAAAGAATTCCTGTGATATCATCAAGATGGAGTATAAGTGTCTTTCCATCTTTGTTTTCTTAGTTCTATTTTTTTTTTTAATTCAGTCATATCTATCACTGAATTTGAGTCCTCTTCTTTTTTATGCATGAACACGTGTTTTTAGTTTGCTGCTGCAATCTTGTTGATGCCTCTGTTTGCGTGCATCTTGTTGATGTAACTGCCCAAGTGTTGTTCTCTCAAGTGGAATAAACTAGGGCTGCTTTCCCCGCATTTTGCATTCCTCTATTTTAATTTTATTTTTTTAATCCCTTCTGGAAGCTTCTATCTATCAGTTTTATGCACACAATGACAACTCGCTTTACATTTGGGGGATCTTTTTTAAAAGGGTTTTGAAAAATTACAAGGCAATGGCCACAAGCCATTCAAAGGAGAGGGATAAAACTAGGAGTATTTAGAGCTTGTTTGGTTTCTTGTTTTGAAAATAATTTTTTCTTTTTTAAAAACAGAAAAATAAAAAAACTTTTTTGGTAAGTTGTTTTTAGTTGATTGTTTTAAAAAACAAAAAACAATAACATGTTTTTAAAAACCAAAAAACCAAAACAACTTTTACATGTTTTCCTATTCTTGTTTTTGTGTTTTTTATTTTTTATTTTGAAAAGTTTTGAAAAATCTTCTTCTCTTCTTATTTACTATCCACTACTTATTATTACCAACAATAATTATCACCCACCAAGTATGGTTTTCTATGGTTTTTTTTTAAACATGATTTTTTAAAATTATGATCCAAACAAATTCTTTTATTTTTTGTTTTCAAAACTTGTTCTAAAAAACAATTTTATAAAATTATTTTGAGAACAAGAAAACAAAGAATAAAAACAAACAAGCCCTTAGCTTCTTAAACGTCCATTCTAAAGATATTCCAGCACTCTAAATGGGAACGACGACAAAGTCCACGTTAACATGGTAAGCCTGTTGAGCAAGCCAATTAGTGCAAGGGTTTGCTTGCATGAAAACATGATTGCATATAGATGTGGAGAATTGGACTGTCAAGTATGTAACAAACTAATGAGTCTATTTAGTTGGTAGTCTTATTTCTTATAATGAAGATCTGTGCAAGGCAAATTTACAGTAGTTGAGCTACAAGCATGATTTCTTCATGTGCATAATATCTGTACGAATCTAGAAATATACCTGAGCCCCTCATCTGGAAATAATATCTGTCATGGTCATAGTTATTTATTTTACAGGATGCTGTAAGATCTGTCATGGCATGTGGCGCAGCACCATGGTGGCTTGTGCCACTCCTCGAGCTGTGGCACTGCAGATTTCTGGTAGCAAGTGGCAGCGTATGCGCCATGGAAGGGGACCTTCGTTGAGGACTTCCCTTACCCATTCTGTGCACTGTTCTGCAATAGCTTCTGAAGTTGAATTCATTTCAGAACTCTCTTCCAAGGCTTCTTAGCTTTTGACACACTTCTTTCAGTCCTCACTCCTCATCCTGGGTTTCAACTTTTTAACCCTTTATCCTATCCCTTCTATGTTTGTGTTTTAATCTTTTTCTGCTCTTCCTTCGTCGCCTTGTTCTTGATTATCTCTCTCTCTCTCTCTCTCTCTCTCTCTCTCTCTCCATGTCTTAGTTCTGCTTCTTTTAACATGGAGGATTCACATTTTTATAGTCTAACGTGTTGTTTATGCGTGGCTGTTCTTAGGGCAGATTAATAGAAACCTCTAGTTTTATCATTCCAAAACTTATATACGGTTTGACACATAGAGGAGTTCAGATATAATCTGAAGAAAGTTATTTAATCTTCTTTTCTTTTTCTCTCGTGCATATTTAGTGCCATAAGCTTAATAAATTTGGATCCATCAATTTCCCGAAGTAATTGTGCAGGAAAAAAACTTTTTTTTTTTTTGGTACAAGGCAAGAAAACTTGATTTAGAAGTTTGTGGCGGATATAATGGCCAATGCCATATCATCCTGCAGTCGAGTTAAGCACTCCCGTGGGGGCTTTTGCCAATAAATCATTTCTTCAAGTATGACCTGTGCCTTTTTGGCCATCAGATCTGCACATTGGAGTGCTTTCCGTGGTGCATATTTGATGCTAATGTCCCAATCTGAGTAGAGTAGTTCTCTGATCTCTGTTATCTCAGTATTTGTGCAGGAAATATTGGCACTCCATTTTTATATTGCGTGACATGTGTACTTCAAAAGTCTTAAAAGGGGAAAAAAATCATGAACAGGTATGCATGAGTACTTGAGGAAAATATTCTTTAACAAGTAGAAAAGAAGAAAACTGCCAGTGGTTTCTAATTTAAATCTTGTGCATCATATAACATAACCTGACTCAATTCACATTAGTCGAAGCTTAATGCCAGTTTTAGGAATTCGGTGAAATACTACACAAAATGGAAAATAAGGAGCTTGGCCAATACATATGTAATATGTAAATTATATTTTGTGCCAATAAAATTTTATATGGAATTTGAATTTTTCTTTTTTTTTTTTTCTCGCCTCTATTAATTCCCTAGAGAATGGATATAAAGTGCATACAATCTAAGTAAATGGTAGGAAACATGATAAAATTATTTTTGAAAAAGTTCCATCTCGCAAATTGGATTGAAGATTAAAAAAAGCCACCTCAAATTTGAGACAAAATTTTAATCCTTCAATTTGAGATGGAAAAAAAAATTCCTGTTTAGGTTTAACGGTCTATGACCAGATTTGTTGTTTCAAAATTGAGACAAATAGCATCCCCTTGTAGAAATTCAACGTTAAAACCATGTGGGAATTCTATCAAAGCCAATTAAACCTCTTGGATTAGATATGGATTTGTAATCCTCTGACCAAAACAAGATATGGATCTGTAATCCTTGCGCTTTATCTATTTTTACATTTAAAATATGTTTTCGGACTTTCTTGTATACTCATTTCAGACTTTGCAAACAAAAGCAATTAGAAGTTTGGAAAAATTGAAGTGAGGGGGAAAAAAAAAGAATTTACACATTGAATTATTATGCTCTAAATTTTTTTTTTTAAAAAAAAAGATATCCTATTTTTGCAAACATATAAATTTGAACCATTTAAAATTGGATTAATAGTTGGGATGAAAAATGTGGAAGGAAAAAGGAATAAAGAGAAGCTGATTCCAAAATGATTGAGTCAAATAAAGCTAATCCTGCTACCATTAAGTACAAACATGTTAACTCCTGCGTTGACCGATGAAAAACCCCATTCATCCAAGGGAATTCGAAAGGACAAGAAACCTAACTTGAGAACTGAGATACAGTCCAAAAGCAGGTCAACGAAAATAAAGGTTTTATCCGGCCCCAACATGTAAGCCTTCTCACAGATTTTCCAAAGACGAAACATATCATTTTCTATGTGGTAAAACGCCAAGCACATAAATTTGAATTGAGCAGTTGACAGTTATATTAAACCCAAAGTCTAGTATTATATATATCATCTAATTTCAGATTGCTCAACTCGTTCACCGTGCAATATGCAGCAACTGAATGAATTCATTTCACAGCAAAGAGATATGAAAAAACTGGTCAAGAAACTGAACTTAAAAAGGCAATTATGTAAGAGGTTGCGTCTAATGGGGGGGGGGGGGGAAATTAGTTCCTCAAAATGCAAACAACTTTGAATCCCCACTGAGAGAGAGAGGAGAGATGCCCACATTTACTATCAAATTTTGCTTTCAATAAAAAGATACTTGTAAGCAACTAAAAAGGGCAACCTCAGTTTACCACTTGCATCCCCATAATCCACAAGGAATCACAGTAAAAAGTTTGCCTTTTCTCTTTTATGCTTACGTAACTTTGAGGTACTGATATACAAACGTGAGCTTGAGTATATCTGTGTTAAGAGCTTCAGAGGTGTAAATACAGTTTGTCAATGCCCACATAATATGGATGACAGCTGAATGCACAAAATGCACATGCAGATCTCACTTCTGCCAAAAAGTACCTTTCAGAGCTGTGGGGAAAAGGATCTAGAGGACCTACTTCTTAAATTCCACATAATAAGATCATCAGCATAATATCTAAGAGTGGCAGAAACCTTCTAGACACCTAACCATGTCAAGTAAGAGATCGCTAGCTGTTTGCCACTTACTGATATACAGATAATTCAATGTTTGCAATCAGTGTCAAATTAAGCAGGAGACATTTTAACGCATTATATACAAAGAAACCTGTAACTTCGAAGCAGAAGCACCTTAAACTATGGGAAAAAATAAATGATTAATTACCACAGAAGCACGAAATGTTTCTATCCTACAGGTAATGTAGCCTTGTCATTCCTCTGCTTTACCATGTAATCACGGACTCGCTCGGCTTTATCTTTCATAGAGTCAATCATCTCTTCAGTTGCATCAATTATCTGTTTTGGCAAGTGAACCTCCAAGAAATCGAACCACTCACCAAGAGTTAACTTCTCCAAATCAGGCCAATCCCCATTTTTATTCGAATCCTTCCTTTGAGAAGAACAAGCTTCTTCTTCTTCCCTCTTACTACTACAAGCCTCCTTGACACTACAATCTTTTTTGCTCTCATCTTCAATATCCACTTTAACACTAGGATTCTTATTCGCCTCTGTGTTGTCCCTCGCTTCCTGGACCATATCTTCCGAGATGGCATCAGGAAGAGATGTCTCTTCCTGTAATTTCCTCCTCCTAGTACCAGCCCTTGTTGTTTTCTTTTCCACAATCTTCTCTTCTGTACATTTCAAACCAGAATTGTCTATACTATTTGTCACAATACTAGAGTTAGAAGCTCCAATCACACTCTGTTGCTGCCGCTGCTTCTTCGAATTTCGGGTTGCCCGCTTATTCGCGGGCGGTTCCACATTTTCTTGCAGAGGAACCACATTCTTCAATTCACCACCAACCTCAACATTTTCATCAATACTCTGAAGCTGAACCTTACTAAACTCTTCCACAACTTCACTCTTCAAGCCCCCGCCCTTCCTCGGCCTACCTCTTTTTTTCTCCACCGGCACAATCACCACTGTCTCTGAACTCTTCCCCTCCAAATTCTCATCCTTCTCCTCCAATTTCTCGCGTACTGTACTATTCGCCTTGGCTGCGGCTTGACGCCTAGGGTTTCGCCGTATGCAGCTACCTTCCTGAGCCTGTAGATCTACCTGAATAGAAGTCAATTCTCCGATCTTGATGGTATCACCGTGGTGGAGATCGAAGGGAGTGTTGGGAGGGATTTTGGAACCATTCAGGAAGGTGCCATTGGAGGAATCGAGATCTCGGATTACCCATTTGGCGGATTCAACCAAGATTGATAGGTGATTGGAGGAAATGCCAGCGTCTTTGATGGAGAAAGTGTTGTTGCGAACAATGCGACCGATCCGCACGACCTTGCCGGGTTCGAACCCTAGGGTTTCGCCTTCTCGAGGGCCTTGAAGAATCACAAGCTTGAGGTGTGGAGGCTCCATCTCTCTCTCTCTCTCTCTCTCTCACACTGAGAGAGTGTGAGAGGATTTGAAAATTCGAGTGTGCGTTTGTGAGTTTGCGGCAGGCACTCGCTCACTTCTGTCTCCTGCGGTTCGATTGACTTTCAAATTTTGAAATGCTAAGTTGGCGGTTTCTTTCTTTTTTCTTTTTGGGCCCATGAAGATTGGGACATTAGTATTTTAGTCCCTGCAATCTGCATTGATTTTCAAATCAATCCTCATAATTTTTTTTTAAAGGAAAATGGCAATTAGGTCCCACTCAAGGGAATTAAATACAAAAAGGTCCCTTAAAATCATAAAATTATTTTAAAGTTCCAAAAAAAATTTTTGCATTAAATTTTATTTATTTACTTACCAAATTACCCTTCTTTTTTTTTTTATGGTTTGCATTGACAACTGAAAGAGTAGTGGTTGACAACTCAGGGTGCAAGGATTGACAACTATCGCGGATGGTTTGATAACTTATGGTGTGATATGCTGAGAAAATGTGTTGTCAAACCAGCTGCGATAGTTGTCAATCCTTACACCCTGAGTTGTCAACCACTGCTCTTTTAGTTGTTTTAAAAAAAATAAGGGTAATTTGGTAATTAAACAAATAAAATTTATTATAAAAAGGTCCCTTGGAATTTCAGAATAATTTTATGATTTCAAGAGACCTTTTTGTATTTAATTCCCTTGAGTGGGACCTAATTGCAATTCTCCCTTTTTTTTTTTTATTGTCTAAATGATCCCCATGAAGTGCCGCCGGTGCACAGCGAGTCCCTACACTTAGTGGAAAATTGGTCCCTTCGAGCTTTCCAGATATTCAAATATCATCAGTAACGGACTGAAGTGAAAATGATTGGATTGTTTATGTTTATGTTTAGATTAGTTGTGAAAAGGGGGGAAAAATTAAAGGATTTGGATGAATTAGTGTGCATGATTAATTACCCTTGCATATAAAAGAAAGTTGTAAGATCAGATCCCTCAAATTAAAGGATTTATATTAGTTGATAGCTTCTTGTTCTGGTCTACGATTTTCTTTCTCCTTATGTGAGGGGAACTCCACTACTGATTTTTTAGCAGTTTCGATATACCGGAAAGTGTGCATTCTGAGGTGGCTTCAAACACCATCACTTTCTTTGGATGCTCTCCTTTTTATTGACAGAACTAAAATGAGCAGATGCACTCCAATGGCTCCTACTAATCTGACCATTGAAGCTATGAGAGCCCGTGATGGCATTGGTTAAACCGATGTCATGATCAGTTTATTTTCTTTTTTATTCTGTACTGGTTATGTTTGTTTGGTTCTCTTTTGGACTTGAACTGTTTCATTGATTTCTTTAGAATGAAGTATTTTCAAGGTCAAAAAAACAAAATCCCTCAAACGGTATAAGGGTATACATGGGTCTCCCTTATAGGGGAGGGTAGGATAGAGTAAAAAAATTAACCTTGTACATGGTTTGAGTTAGTGCAATTTTTAATTTTTTAAATTGTTTTTATTTTAATTTTAGCCTTTCAAATTTTAAATTATAAATTTTAAACATTCAAATTTCTTTCTGTTTAAAACATTAACTTTTATAATTTAATAAAAACCTGAAACATTTTTTTTGTTGGAACCAGAATCAAAATGAATAAAAAATTAATAGACCAAAAATTGTATTAATTTACAGATTGTCTATTTAAAAAAATGAGAAATGAAAGCTAATGACGCATATATAAATTTGTAATGAAGTATTATTTTGCAAATTGAGTCTTTCTCAAAAATTTCAGATTCTCGTTCTAAAATTTGTCTCATCCTTGCCACTTCCCCTCTCTTTTCACTCTTCTCTCCCTATTTATATTTTCTCACCAGAAACCTAACAGTCATGCCCATAATATAGATGGCACTTTCCTCCTATTGATGTAGCAACCATTAATAGCTTGAAACCATGATTCGTTTATGAAATCATAATTAAAAATAAGCATAAATTTAGATTCATTAATAAATTGGAACCAATACAATTCCATGAACCATCTTTTACATTAGCAAACTATCATTACATGTAACTAGACAATAACCCAGACTGTCATAAGTCATAACCCAATTTTTCTTCATCATCATCATTGTGGCCGTTAATTTAAGATTAAATATGAATCTTTATCAGGAGAAGCATCAATGCTTCTTGAGAGGCTAGGCTGAATAGCCACAAGCATCAATTCTGTTCTCTAAGAACACCGGTTTTCATAAACAAGAGATCACTTGAATGAAATGAGAACTAGAGAAGTTTCAGTCCGCCAGTTACATCATCAACCACATCCACTGGCCCTGTACAAGGAAATTAAATTGAATATAAAGAAAAGGAAGAAAGAAATAAGCGTTGAGCTGAAAAGGAGAAGGAAGAGCCCAAATGAAAATGGAAAAGGCAATATTCCATGGCATTAGAAAAGAGAATTTACCCATTATTGCCATCACTGTTCTGGAATCTAGAAGAAAGGAAAAAAAATATTAGTACAGTGAATAAGATAAGCGCTATATAGATATTAACAATAGCTGAGAGAATTTAATAATAGTGTACAAATTAAATTAAACAAAATGTGGAAACTACTAATGCCAGTAGTAACTACAGGTAGAAAAAACACCACTTCTTTCCACCAAAAAATCAAAAAGAAAAACTATCGCATCTTGTGATCATCGTGATCAAGAGATTGTCACATTAGTTTTAGGACAACTGCATGAGTCCTATTATTCAGTTATAACTTCTCTTCAAGATGTTCACTTTATCCAACAAAATTTCTATAACGTTCCCTCTCAAGACGTTCTCTCACCCTTTCATCTTCATAAGCATACGCATCAGCCAGTCTGATCAAAATGAGGAATTAGAGACCCTAGTTCATGGTCAATATATAGTTGTCAGTCATCTCTACAGCACTAGATCCTTCAAGCTTTATATGAACACGTTCTTTACTTCACAACTTGCTCATTAGCTTCCTTGTTTCCAGACCACTTCCCAGGAAAATGGATGAGATTATTTACAATAGATCCAAAGGAGACCAACTGTCTACTGACTAACGAGATATGGGCAGTCAAAATCAACACTGAACAATACTTTTCTTGAGAATCTGTAACATATATAAGATTATTGGCAAATGGAAATTAACTGTTGATCATTACAAGCAGAGCTTCAGCAACATCAGAAGAACAAACAACAGAGCAAAGGACCTGATAAACTTAAACCGAGAACTATACAATGACCCATATGCAAAGTGCTATTAACTCACTTGGTGCAATCTGTGTTCTCCCCGCATCAATTGTGATATGCGTAGGTAATTTCAATGATTTCGCTCTTTCCTGTCAAATTAAACAATGCGGATAAGCAAATAAAATTTGACATTGATTTTGTCTTCCGTGTATGGTTTACTAAATCATAATCCAGGACCAGTTTAGTCATAGATGTGTTTGAGGCTACGAAAATTTCCTTCCGTTGCAAACAATGCAAAATTTCTAGCTAAATGTCCACTCCTGTCCTTTTCACTATCCCAAGCAACCATATATTATCCCCATATGACTCTATAAACATTTATCAAGAAACGCACTTCAAAAGATTATCAAGCATATGCATTTGTAGGGTTGCAGCCACCAGTAAGAACAGAAACAGATCTCCTTAAACTGAGGCTTTCTGTTAGTGTTTTCACAGCCAAGTCTCCTTAGACCAATATTTACACTTTCATGGTTTACTTCAAGATGCCCCTTTGTTACCATGGTAAATTCTACAACTTTGATCCTGCAGATTCGGGTCAGGTCATCTGCTAGATCTAGATGTTCCCTTCTGCATTTTGGTACCAATTTTATGACCTTAAGAGTACATAGTCCTTTCAAAAAAGTCATGAATAATCCAAATCACCTTCATTCATTTCTGGCTACTAAGTCTGATAGGATTTGTGTCCTCTAATTTTATTTTTACTTGCCGACCTACCCATTTGTACATTAAAGCTATGAGAATAGAAATCTGAACAAACCACACCGCTGTTAGCATGATGGTATGATAAGAAAACTATTCATATGAACTAGGAATTAAACTCCCAACCCATTTTAAATGATTAATTAGCAGAAGTAGATTAAATGTCCAATTATGGATACTTCTGTGCATCATAATCATAATCATAATCAGCAACTCTGAATAATATAAAAAGGCAGGCAGGCATGCCAACACTCAGCTAATAAGTAGATTAAACAAAAACTTCGCTGACTTAGCACCAAATAATTCTAAATAACGCTCACCTGCAACACCAGCATATCTTCCTCGCTTTCAATTTTGACAACAACCTTGGGCTGTGCACACATCTCCCACCTGCATATTGACAAGCTTCATACTGAAGAGACACAATCATGGATGACCTAAGAGTGAAATCAAAACCTGTGGCTGTACCTATTCAAAGCTTTTGGAGATCGATGGAGAAGCTTTTTGTAGAGACCCAGAGTAGCGTGACTACAGAATAAAAAGAACTGGATTCAACCATATATCAGTTGGAAAACAAAATTTGTCCATTTAAATAAAATTAAAAACATAGAAGATCAACAAATGAAAGAGAAAAATCAGAACAACTAAACTTCGTGTTTAAATTACTTCTCATAAAGACAGTGAAAATAATGCATTCTTAGAACCACGCCAGTCAGCCCCATGTAATAAGAAATCATCCATATAGTATTTGAAGTTTAAAACACAGAAAGCAATGCTATCAAGTGGAAAATATTGACCTCTTTTGACCCACACCATTTTCACTCAAACCGCTACTGTCACTTAAAAACAGATTGTGATGACTGTCACCATGAATAAACACTTTTCATAAACCCTGCTATCAGTTCTCATTTTCGAAAGGCTTCAATCATACCAACAAGCCCCGGACAGAAAACAGAATAAATAAGAACATTCAAAACCTCCTTAAATCTAGGATTTAAAGCAGCTGACCTATAATTTTATGGCCATTCTCAGTCATTCCATCTTAACAGCATCTAAGGGGAAAACATTTCTTGATTTTCACAAATAATGGCCATCAGAACTTGCT